AAGTATCATGGCTTATAAACACTCCTTTGAGATTTTAAGATAAAGCTTATGTTCAATTCTAAAATATGACAAAGTAATAATTTTCTTTAACTTTTATTTACATTCTTGGTAAACTATCATAAAGTATACATTGAAGATTTTGTCCAGAGTAGATCTCTTTCTTTTGTGATAGCAGGTTAAATATCTAAGGACTTAAGAAGCTAAGGGCTGAATTTGAAAAGTGTCAAATGTTAAACAAATGGAAGGTTTGTAACAGAATTTATTATTTTATTACACTGCTGAACCCAAGAGACAGAGAAGAAAGGTTCTGGAGGAAAAATTGCAGAACAGCTCCTTGGCAAGAATAAGAATTTTCCACTACCACTTGCCCTAAGGACATTGACTTGCCCCATCAGGGAAATAGCACTGGATTTAATCATCAGAACAGCACTGCCTACTCCCGCACAAAACCCTCTGTCTGAAATTCACAGAAGCCTGCAGACAAAGGAAAATTATGTCTTAGTTTGAAAAGTATTCGTTGAGTCTTTACTTTCATGGATCTTTTACTTCCTTAGAGAACTTAACTTCCTGATAGATTCAAACATAAATAAGACTCTTACAAAATCATGAAGCAGAGCTAGTTACACAGCATGTTAAAGAAAGTCTTTCATTAATTGAGGCTTCTTAGGCAAGACTCCTTTTACTTCTTATCTTTAATTTCCTGTCTAAAATGAAGACATGGGCTGGTCAAGATGATATGGGGTTTTCTAGCTAAGAGAATACTAGAATATTACAGGTTTCTGTGACCAGTTTGGATTTATGCTTCTTTAGTGCCTATCCACAGAGATGTTTCCAACGGAATGAGAAATGTAAATAAGACTAAGGTGTACATTGTCGGAGTGTGGGGGCTTTGGGTCTTCTTGTCCTAGAGCTGGAATTGTTGGCACATGAAAAACAGCACATAGTAAAGGTTGTTCTAAACAAGCCTTTCAGTTATACTTGATTTTGTTTTCTTACATTAATTTTATAGTGTGTTTGGAAAACATTTTAAAATGTGGTTTCTTGGACATTGCACAAAATGCATTGAACTAGACCATGGTCAGCAAACTCATTAGTCAACAGAGCCAAATTCTTTCAACTTAAACTTCTAATGCCACTTCTTCAAAATAGACTCGCCCAGGCCGTGGTATTTTGTGGAAGAGCTACACTCAAGGTGCAGTTTGCCGACCACGGAACTAGACTCTTGAGCAGGTCCTGAGATTCTGTAGTTTAGAAAAGGCCCCTAGATCAGTGGTCGGCAACTGAGGCTCACAGGCCACTGTTTGCTGCTCTGTTGACTAATGAATTTGCTGACCACTGACCTAGACTCTCGATTCCAATAATTACAGGCTGCTGCTGTTCCTTGTGATTAAGCCCCAATCCCAGTGAGCTGCAGTTTGCCGACCACTGCCTTAGATCATCTTTTTCTTTTAATTCTTAAATATTTAATTGCCTCCTGATTAGAATGGCTGTTGTGCGGTGGAAGAAGCATAGAGGTTAGTTTTTTAAGGGCTTCCTAGGTCATTTGTTTCACTAGCATTTGACATGTGAGGCATTCCTAAATATTAGGCTAACAATTGTGTCAATGTAATTTCTGTGCAAGAAAGAGACAGCCTTCATGTTATGTTACTAAAATGGACCTACAGATGCCTGGCCAGCGTGGCTCAGAGGTTGAGCTTCGACCTATGTACCAAGAGGTTGCCGTTTGAGCCCCAGTTAGGACATATGTCCAGGTTGTCAGCTCAGTCCCCAGTACGGGGCATGCTGGAGGCAGCCTATTGATTCAGTGATACTCTCTCATCATTGATGTTTCTCTCTCTCTTCCTCTCCTTCTCCCTCTCTGAAATCTGTAAATATATAAATATATTTTAAATGGACCTATAGAGGGAGATTAGTTTCTTTATAATACCAGTATAATTTTTAAAAAATATTTCTTTATTGAATTTTTACAGAGAGGAAGGGAGAGGGATAGAGAGCTAGAAACATCAATGAGAGAGAAACATCAGTCGGCTGCCTCTTGCATACCTCCTACTGGAGATGTGCCTGGGACCTTTCAGCGATGCTCTATCTACTGAGCCAAACCAGATAGGGCACCAGTATAATTTTTAATGCTGCATCTTCTAGGTGTACCGGTTAATGACAGATTTTTGTAATCAAAGAAAACGTGATAATTTCAAGAGAAACATCAAAGGTGCTTTATTCAAAGTAATGTCCATTGCTAGCTACAATTTCCCCCATCTTTCAGGTAATTTGTGGGTACTGTTCCAATAGAACTTTTCTTGTTTTGAGGCAAACCATTCAGATACCCAATTTTCCACTATTTCATACATTTTGAAGTGCTGCTCAGAAAGTGCGTGTGCCATCAATCGGAACAAGTGGTCATCTGAAGGAGCAAGGTCTGGTGAATATGGCGGGTGGGTTAATACTTCCCAGGCAAGACTTTTTAATGTGTCTTTAACTGGTTTTGAAGTGTGTGATGGTGCGTTATCATGAAGCAAAATTACTCTGCTGTGTCTTCTGACCCATTCTGGTCGTTCCACAATCAAAACATGGTTCAAATTATTTGTTGTTAGTAGTGATCAGTATTAACAGTTTCATCTGGTTTTAGAAGCTCATGATACACCACACCTTCCTGATCCCACCAAATGCAGGACATTGTCTTCTTTCCGAAGCGATTTGGCCTTGCAGTCAATGTTGATGGTTGACATGGATCAACCCATGATTTTCTGTGTTCGGGATTCTCAAAATAAATCCATTTTTCATTGCCAGTCGCAATTGGATGCAAAAAAGACTTTCTTGCCATTGAAGCAACATTTCACTGATGATTTTTCAGTTTTCCATTTGTCTTCCATTAAGTTGATGTGGCTCCCATTTTCCTTCCTTTAAAATCTTGGTACATGATCAGACATTGTTTGCTGAGCAATGTTTAATCTTACTGAAAGTTGTTTTTGAGTTTGACAAGCATCTTCTTTCAAATGCTTGTAATTTGGTTAGTCTTCAAACTTTTTTGGTTGACCTGGACGTTCTTTGTCTTTCACATCGGAATCATCACTTCTAAAGCATTTAAACCAGTGTTCACAAGTATCTTGAGCTGGAGCATATTCACCATAAGCTTCCCGAGGTTTATAACTTTTTCTTCAAAATAAAGTAATGAATTAAAACTTCCACAAATGCTTTTTATTTTTGCACGAAATTTGACATTTTTAAGCATAAAAATACCTATGATGTTAACACCTACAGCAAATTTGACATGAAATTTTGAAGCTTGCTGTCAATACAACAAAATAGTAAACATACCAAATCGCATATATATATCAACATGTGTACCGTAACTCCATCTATTGAAAAAAATCCCCATTATTAACCAGTACACCTTGTATATAGTATTGATTCCACTTTAAACTAATAGCTTAATATGTTGACTGAGTTACCCAAAATAGAAATTTAACCTTGGCATTTATTGCCTTAAAACTACATTTTCCATCCATTTCAAATTTTTTGAGCTTCCATTGAAACACAGCAAAATAAATGCCCAAGATAGTACTTTTGGGTCTTGTTGTTATTTATCCTCAATTTGAATATTAGATTTGCTGAACTTAAATGTGGCAGATTTATGAGAATAAGAGCTAGGGCTCTCATATGAAAATTGTTTACATAGGATTGTGATGTAAATTGCCACAGATTTCAAAGAACATTTTCAAGTAAAATTTCCATTTAGGATCACGTGCTCATCATTGAACTCGTATCCTTTTCATATTCAGGGTCATACAGGATACAATGATAACCAGAAATAACACAGAAAAAAATGTTTATGTTGGTATAAAATTTTTATCTTGATGGGGCATTTTATCTGTTAAAAGTCACTGAAGTTTAAGATATGGATTTTTTTTATAGCATGAACAGAAGTACATTAAAATGAAAGGTTTTGGCTTATTCGGTTTGAATATTGCTATTTGTTGCATAAGCATTTCCAGCAGCAATTTTACCTGTGCTTAATGTGTCCCTGCAGTCAAATGCAAGGATGATCTTTGCCTCTTGAGATTATATGTTGGCAGTCTTTGTGCTGCCTTGTGACCATGTTACCTACCTAGGCCCTAGGGTTGTTTTATGAGCTGGAGTTTAAAAAGCAAATTATACTCTCCCTGAATTTTTTTAAAAATATATTTTATTGATTTTTTTACAGAGAGGAAGGGAGAGAGAGAGCTAGAAACGTCGATGAGAGAGAAACATCCATCAGCTGCCATCAGCTGCCTCTTGCACACCCCCTACTGGGGATGTGCCCGCAACCAATGTATATGCCCTTGACTGGAATTGAACCTGCGACCTTTCAGTCTGCAGACCAACGCTCTACCACTGAGCCAAACCGGTTTCTGCTACTCTCCCTGAATTTAAAAGCTCTGAAATGTGGGTGGGTGGGAGGGGTAAACGGGATGACAAAGTTGAAGGCTTAATAAATGAAATAAATCTTGGACAGAATGGCTATTTTGGCAGATTGCATATAACCAGTGACAGTTAGAATTCAGTGTGTGGGATAAATCTGGAAAATGAATATTGGACTTTAAAATACCATATGCAAGTTTAGGGGCTACTGTACTTATTCATTCTAATTTTTTTACTGTCCTTGTGGTAAGACTTCCAAAACTTACCTTAGTTACCTTTCAGAAAGGGAAAGGGAAAGCTGTTGTGCACTTATTTTTATTGTTCAGTTGCTTTTGGTACTGATGTGCAGTCCAGTATTTTGAACATAGTTCTGGGCACTGTTTATTCTTTTCCTTCTTGTGTAATTCAAATGTTATATTTATCAGCAAAAGTTCCCCCCCTCCCCTAGTGTAAGTTAACTGTCTTACTTATTTTAACAGACTTTTATATATTGTGCTATATACAGGCTATTTCCTTTAAAAATTGTGTTTAGAGATATTTATCTCTATGTAACATGATTGCAAAAGTTGCTTATTTTAGCTGCCTTTTTTCTCCCTAATTAGTTGGTGACAAAGTTCCTGCTGATATAAGGTTAACTTCCATCAAATCTACTACTCTAAGAGTTGATCAGTCAATCCTCACAGGTAAGTGTCATGTATTGGAAGGCCACTGAATTTCTGATGCCTCTCAGATACCATGCTAATAGCATCGACTCTTGCCCCACTCTTTCTCTATGATATCCTATCTTAATTCTCATTAAGCTATTTATTTTTATCTGTTAGACTTGTTGCCAATATATGGGGCTTAAAGGTGTGATTTAAAAAAAACAAAAAAACTAGGCTTTCATCTTAAGGCCTCTATCTTTTAATTTTATAAAAAATTAGTTTTCACCCAAAATCACCATAATGTTTTTATTATTTTTAAAAAGTTACAAATTCTCTTATTAGCAGAGGTTAATCTTATAGTAGAAGTATTGTCTGTTTTGTGGAAAGTGATTCAATTTCTTTTATTTTGTTGTTAATCCTCACCTGAGGATATTTTTCCATTGATTTTTTTTTAGGGAGAGAAAGGGAAAGACAAAGAGAAATATCTATGTGAGAGAAACACATCAATTGGTTGCCTCCTACAGGAGCCTCAACTCAGGCCAGAGAGGAGCCTGCAATCAAGGTACATGCCCTTGACCAGAACTGAACCCGAGATCCTTGGGTCCGCAGGCCACCGCTTTATCCACTGAGCCAAATTAGCCAGGGCTCAATTATTTATTTAGTCTTCTTTTTCACGGCTGGTGAAAAGGGCTCTAGAACTGTAGTAGGTGTTTTTTTTTCATTCTATGAATTCTAATCTAGAATCTAACATACTTTACAATAATCAAATGTACAATTAACAGAAGTTAGCACCCCCAAAATAGTGTGCACACTTAGATTTGGGATTGTTTGGAACATTTTCCCATTTTTGTTTGCTAAAGGCACAGAATAGGGTGGAGGGCATATTAACCGGAAGTGAGGTGGTTAGAAGATTAACTTAAACACAATGCTAACCTGAATTAAATAGAGAATAAATATAAAATCCAAAGATTATCAAGATTTATCTGATGATCAGTTTTGAAAAGCAACTGATGTCATAGAGGTGGTGATGTAAGGAACCTGGGTTCTGTATTTTTTGGTTCTTCATGAATAGCTTAATTACTAAAACTGCCATTAGCAGCAATAAGCTGAAAGCTGATTAAGACATAAAATGTTGGGAAATTAGGTTGTATGTATGAAATTCTCATAGTGTGTCTACAAAAATAATTACCATTTTAAAACATCATACTTTCTTGAATAATTTTTTGTTGAATACTTAAACTATAGTTTTAGGCTAGATTGAGGAATCAGATTTTTTGGTCAAATATCAATAGTGAAGTTTAATACCTGACATTAGAATGAACAGTTGGAGATATATTTCACTCAGATAGAACCCGATTATATATTTTATAAATATTACTAAGTAAAGCTGAAACCAAATTCAGCTAGACATTTGTACTTTCTTTTTTTTTTTTTAATCCTCACCCCAGGATATTTTTTCCATTGATTTTTAAATATATTTTTTTATTGATTTTTATACAGAGAGGAAGGGAGGGAGATAGAGAGTTAGAAACATCAATGAGAGAGAGTCATTGATCAGCTGCCTCTTGCACACCCCCTACTGGGGATATGCCCGCAACCAAGGTACATGCCCTTGACCGGAATCGAACCCGGGTCCCTTCAGTCCCCAAGCCGACGCTCTATCCATTGAGCCAAACCGGTCCCGGCTTTCCATTGATTTTTAGAGAGAGTGGATAGGAGGGCGGGATGGGGAGATAGGAGGGTGGGACGGGGAGAGAGAAACATCCATGTGAGAGAGAGACATCTACTGGTTGCCTCCTGCACATGCCCCAACCCCATCAGGAACTGAACCTGCCACCCGTTGGTGTTAGGGCCGATACTCGTAACTACTGAGCACACTGGCGAGGGCTACCATGTGCTTTTTTTTTTTTTTTTTTTTTTTTTATTGCAACTGCTGATTGCTATTTTTCAGCTTTGTTTTATTGAAATCGAACACTCTGGTTTAGTACATGCAAATATTTCTAAAAAAAAGTGTTTTCACTTCTCATCTCTGACATTACTGAACAACAACAGGTTTCCCAGTGGGTGATCTTCATTATTCATAATGTATCTGCAGCGTGTTCAATCCACTAAAAATAAATATACTTGCAAGTAAATATACTTGCACCTTAAAAACAAAAACAAAAAAGTACTGGAGTGTGTGTATATAGTTACCCAGAAAATAAAGGTCATTGGCTGGGATTTTACTTCAAAATTGAGTTCCTTTATTTTGAAATGATATGTATTTTAATCCTGACATTGCTCTGAAATTAATTTCTATTACTAAATTTTACTAGTTTACCTTCTTTGAATGAATTGGCCCTTTTGGCCCTTTTCTTGAGAGAGGCAGTGGCAGGAGTGGATGAGGTTCCCAGGTTCCAGGTGTGGATTGTGCAGATCTAACCACCCCTCTGTCTCTCAACAATGCTTAGGTGAATCTGTCTCTGTCATCAAGCACACTGACCCCGTCCCTGACCCACGGGCTGTCAACCAAGATAAGAAGAACATGCTCTTTTCTGTAAGTACTTTATCATTTGTTTCTTTTGAGACTCTTATTTTTTAAGACATTCTCAGAGTTTTAAGTCTGCTGATGCTATTCCCCCCCCACACACTGCCTACCATCAGTGGTCGTATTTTATAAAGTGTTGGCTCTTATTTCAAAGCATAATCACAGTCTTTGTGGTCAATCTCAGCTGTCAGAAAAACATCAAGAACATGTAATGGTGGGATATGTGACCTAGCCGGCTTTTTTCAATTCTCACCCGAGGATATATTTTTTATTCTAGAGAGAGAGTAAGGGAGGGAGAGAGACGGAGAGACATTTATTGGTTACTTCCCATATGCACCCTGAACAGGGTTTGAACCCACAACCTGGTTATGTGCTTAGACCAGGGATCGAACCTGCCACTCTTGAGCCACACCAGCCAGTACTAAACTGGCAAGTTTTTGAGAATTAAAGTTAAAACATCAGGTCAGATATTTTTCAATTCTTTATCTTTAAACCTAGTAGAAAAGTAAATTTCTTTGGAAAAGACTTATAATAAAAAGGATGTTTTGAGCCGAAACCGGTTTGGCTCAGTGGATAGAGCGTCAGCCTGCGGACTGAAGGGTCCCGGGTTCGATTCCGGTCAAGGGCATGTACTTTGGTTGCGGGCACGCCCCCAGTGCAGGGTGTGCAGAGGCAGCTGATCGATGTTTCTCTCTATCCCTCTCTCTTCCTCTCTGTAAAAAATCAATAAAGTATATTAAAAAAAAAAAAGGATGTTTTGAAAGATGTGGATGGTATCTGTACGAATTCACAATAAAAAGATGCATGTTTAGAGAGAAACAAATGTGGCAAACCATTAATAATGAGTGAGTCTGGGTGAAAAGTCAAATGGCTGTTCATTGTACTATTACAGTTTTTCTGCGAAATATTTTCGAAATAGCCCTAGACAGGTTGGCTTAGTGGATAGAGCATTGGCTCTCAGACTGAAGAGTCCTGAGTTCAATTCCAGTTAAGGGCAATGTACCTTGGTTGTAGGCTCTATCCCCAGCCCTGGTCGGGATGTGAGGGAAGCAACCAATCGCTATGTCTCCCCTGCCCTTCCACTCTCTCTCAATTTTTTTCTCCCCAAAAATAAAAACTTGGGAAATTTCTAGTTTGTTTGGATTGAAATACTATTTCAAGTGGTGGGCTTTTATGTATTCAGATGGGAACTTATATGTAAAGTACTCGCGAGTTACAGTGAAAGTAATGGAGCCGTATCATTCCAACATTAGGAATTTAGTGGGGTGTGGAGACAGCTCTCATACTTGAGTTCACTGATTTTGGGATGCCAGTGCTGGAGTGGAAGTTGCCCTTATAATTGGTGATGTAAGTAGGGGTGGTTGAGTTGGAGCCAGAGGTGGAGAGAATGCTTAGGGTTTAGAACTACATGGAGTTTAAAATAATTGAGAACTCAGAGGGGTTAGAGCCCTGCTCTAGCCCTAAGCTAGTCTGCAGGCCAGGTTCAGTGTTGTGAATAGGGATGCAGGTGGGAGAGCTGCTCCGGGGAGAGTAGGTACACATGAAGTGAGCAGCAGGGAGAAAGGTATCACACTGCCTCGTGAGTTATTCTCTTATCAAAGTTGGATGGCTGGTTCTCTACTCAAGATCCACACCAATCTGAGTTTACTAGTCAGCATTTAAGTTGGGAATGTTAATATTGTAACTCAGTTCTCTGTTTCTGTCCTAGGGTACAAACATTGCTGCTGGCAAAGCCATGGGAGTGGTGGTGGCAACTGGAGTTTTCACTGAAATTGGCAAGATCCGGGATGAAATGGTGGCAACGGAACAGGAGAGAACACCCCTTCAGCAAAAACTAGATGAGTTTGGGGAACAGCTTTCCAAAGTCATCTCCCTTATTTGCATCGCAGTTTGGATGATAAACATTGGGCACTTCAACGACCCGGTTCACGGAGGCTCCTGGATCAGAGGTGCCATTTACTACTTTAAAATCGCAGTGGCCCTGGCTGTAGCAGCCATTCCTGAAGGTTTGCCCGCTGTCATCACCACCTGCCTGGCCCTCGGAACTCGCAGAATGGCAAAGAAAAACGCCATTGTCCGAAGCCTCCCTTCTGTGGAAACCCTTGGCTGTACTTCTGTGATCTGCTCAGACAAGACCGGTACACTTACAACAAACCAGATGTCAGTCTGCAGGGTAAGTGGGAGTAATTTAAGAACCTTTCCTGCTAATTGTTTATTCATCCTAAGAATATGCCCCCTGTGCCATCAAATCTTTACTTATAATTTGATTCCTTTTTATGTGCCTTAAACAGATTGGGTTATGTGAGCCCAAAGTAATTTCTAATACTTCAGAGGAAATTAATCATTAAATTTCTAAAACTATTTCATGAAGTAAAGGATATCTGTATGGCTGATATACATGTATCGAAGGAATAACTATAGGCAGTCTAAATGTCAGTTTATTTCCCTGCTCCTCTGTCCTTAAGTATATACATGTTAACAGATACGCTTCAAAGGAAGAGCGTTCTATAAAGTGGCTAGTTACCTACCTACTTAAAGTTCTAATCGAATATTTCTATTACACACTGAATGAGACATGCTTTCTTCTTGAAAAGTAAATAATTACCTTTCACTTTATTTTCTTTTATTCTTCCTTTCTTAGGCTGTCTCACAATCACTTGGGTAAAAAAAAAAATTATTCAAACCTGCTCTTAGAAAAATAAGAACTAAGTAAATTTTATGTCAACAATATTGTAGAAGTGAAAGTATAATTTTCCAAAAGGTGTACAACTCAGATATTTAGTGGACATGTCAAAGATTCTATCTGGCTCATTAATTAATGAAGGAATCGTTAAGATGGTCAAACGGTTTACCAAGAGCATTTGAGGAAGTGCTCAAGATTAGAATTGCTATAGGTTAGATTACAAAAACTGGTTAATATTCCTTGGGACAATAAAACTACTATGTTATATTTCTACAGGCCACAAATCCATAACTTTACATAACATGAGGCCTTATTAATAAATAGCTTACTGAAACACTTAATTTTTCTAGAACACGGAATCTTTGAATGGGCACGTTAGGTAAAGCCTCTGAGTGACACTGAAAGGAAGGACATGTGGTTATCCTCTTGGTCTTATGTCCAGGTTTTGAAAAATACTTGTTTAGTATTGGAAATTGTTTTTGTTTTAATACAGTTAAACGCTCTGAATCTTTATCTTGTCAAATTTAAGTTGATGATTATATTTAGATACAGATACCGACTCTTTTCTTAGTCCAAACCCAAGTGTAGAATGAATGGAAGTGTTTAAAACAGATTGAGGTGTTCTGTGTCTCACGTGGTAAGCTTCCTAGTTTGACAGGGGTTCCTCTTGTAGATGCAGAGTTTGAGCTACCTAAGTTCTTGTTCTTTGGAACCAGAAAAGTTTGGACAAATAGGCTAAAAGCAAGTTGGCTAAGAGCTGATGATTTGAGGGAGAGAAAAGAATTTTCATGTTACCTGTTTAGTATTCCCCCAGCAAACTTTAAATTTAGCCTGAAAGCTTTAGATTCCTCAGAATAGACTTTCTATCCATAAAAGCAAGCAGTGTGCAATTGTAACCTTTAAAAATTATTTTGGTTTTAAAGTTTTGGCAGCAAATCTGATTTTAAACTAAGTATAAAATAGAGTCCATAATAATTTTTTTGTGCTTTTATTTTTCCCTTAAATGATTTGATTTAAAATGTTTTTTTCTATTTAAAAAACAGCCTACCTCTTTGTTCTGTTCTACCTCAGCACAAAAGCTGGCGCTAATCAGTATTCTATAAGGTTTCTTGCAGTGGATTGCATAACTACCCTTGACTTAGGAATACTTTCATCATGCAGTTCCTAAATGGTTCGCTTTCTTAAAATCTAAAATACCAAAGTGCATTTAGATTTAGTTAGCGTGCAGCAGAATTCTGAGTGTATTAGAATATTTTGGACTGGTATAGACCCAGAGTTTCACTTTTTATAAAACATCTCATTAAATAAATGGCAGTGTTTAATAACAATACTGCCAAATTGCTTTGCTGTTACTTAGTGCAGTTACTGTATTTTTTTCACTTGTGACTTGATTTGAATCATGAGAATCCCACTCAAGAGGTGAGCAAACTGCCCTAGCCAGTTTGACTCAATGGATAGAGCGTTGGCCTGCAAACTGACGTTCAGTCTGGTCAAGGGCGCATGCCCAGCTCGTGGGCTTGATCCCCAGTAGGGAGTGTGCAGGAAGCCACCAATGAATGATTCTCATCATTGATGTTTCTATCTCCCTCTCCCTTTCTGGAATCAATAAAAATATCTTTAAAAAAAAGATTAGAAAACTAAGGCTCCAAGCCTTTTTAAGGTGTTTATCTGTTTAAAAAGAAAAATTGACCTTGCTGCAGGTAACCTTGGAAATGAATCTTTTCCACATTGGAAATGCTGATACATGTTTTTGAACTACAGGCTTTTATCAGGAGTCCTCACAGGTTTAACTCCAATTATATACTTTTTTGATTTGTATGTTTTACTCATGGTTTTAGTTTAGTTCCAAGGTTGGTTTAATTCTTAATATACTTTTGAAATGAAGTTTTTGAAAGTTAAAATTATGTGCTATATAACAAATCTTGTGAGGCAAAAAAAATTTTTTTTTAATCAAGATGAGTTTATTCTCTTATTGAATATGAGTTGGGTGGCTCTGAAAAGATGTGTAAAAGTGTGACATGGCCCTAGCTTGTGTTGTTCATTGGTTAGAGTGTCCCACATACCTAAAAGTCATAGGTTCAATTTCCCCTCCCTTCCACTCTAAAAATCAGTGGAGGGAAATATCCACAGGTGAGGATTAACATCCTACCTAATAAAATAATAATATGCAAATTAACCATCACTCCACTGTACTCACAAGCCACGCACACCAGCCAATCAGGGCAAGTATGCAAATTAACTCCAACCAAGATGGCTGCAGCCACAGAGAGCAGGGGAGAGGCTTGGGTTTTCCAGGCAATAGAGGAAGCCAAGCTTCTGCAGTTCTGGCAGGCCTAGGCCCCTATTCCAGGCTACAAAGTTTCAATTGTAGAAGATACATAAATCCCACATACCAGGGCCTTCACTTGGGTCGCCCCATGCCCCAAGGGAACCCACCCTGATCCGGGACACCCTTCAGGGCAAACCAGCTAGTCCCCAACCCATGCACCAGGCCTCTATCCTATCTAATAAAAGAGTAATATGCAGATTGACCATCACTCCAACACACAAGATGGCTGCCCCCATGTGGTTAAAGATCCTGCCTCCATGTGAACACAAGATGGCCAGCAGGGGAGGGCAGTTGGGAGGGGCCAGGTCTGTAAGGGAGGGCAGCTGGAGGTGATCAACCCTGCAAGGGAGGGCAGTTAGAGGAAGGAAGTTGGGGGCAAAAAGGCTGGCAGGGGAGTAATTAGACATCAATCAGGCTGGCATGGGAGTGGTTAGTGGGTGATCAGGCTGGCAGGCAGAAGCAGTTAGAGGCAGTCAGGAAGGCAGGCAGGTGAGCAGTTGGGAGTCAGCAGTCCTGCATTGTGAGAGGGATGTCTCTGGTCTAAACGGGCAGTTGAACATTTCTCGAGGGGGTCCCAGATTGGAGAGGGTGCAGGCTGGGCTGAGGGACAACCCCACACACACACACCCCATGCATAAATTTCGTGCACTGGGCCTCTAGTACATACATAAAAGCATGACATGATTCTTTCTTCAGTGAGTTTACCGTTCCTTATTGAAACTGGTTTGATCATATTCTTGTTCATATTTCAGAGATATTTTGGCATGGTATAGTTGACGTATCTATCTTTGTGTGTTTTTGTCCCCCTTCACCCCCCCCCTTTTTTTTTTTTTTTTTTTAGGTTTTACAGTTTCCATCTGCAGTGAAAACACATATCTAAATCTTAGTCTTCCAAACTGCACTTCTGAATTATAATTAGCAAATTTTTAAAATCTCATCTTTAAGAAACTAGCTTTTGGTCCTGGCTGGAATGGCTCATTTGGTTGGGCATTGTCCACAAACTTAAAGGTTGCTGGTTCGATTCCCTGTTGGCACACACTCAGGTTTTAGGCTCTATGCTTGGTGAGGGGCCATGCAGGTGGCAGCCAATTGATGTTCGATGTTTCTCTTTCTCTCCCCTTCTCCCTTCCCCTGTCTCTAAAAATCAGTAAAACATTTTTTAGGAAAAAGAAACTGGCCTTTGTCACCTTACTAATCTATACAATTAAGAATTCTTTCATAGCCAAAACCTGTTTGGCTCAATGGATAGAGCATCATCCTGCGGACTCAAGGGTCCCAGGTTCGATTCCGGTCAAGGACAGGTATCTTGGTTGTGGGCACATCCCCAGTGGTGAATGTGCAGGAGGCAGCTGATCGATGTTTCTCTCTCATCTATGTTTCTAACTCTCTATCCCTCTCCCTTCCTCTCTGTAAAAAAAAAAAAAGAAAAGAATTTTCCTAAGCTAAGCATGCTTCTGTCTGTATTGTCTTGGTAATATAAGTTCATTCAGCTCTGCAGCCTCCTTACTGTACACATATAGTTATGCAGCTTCATGGAAAATGAGCTATTACCACAACAAAAATAAGTGGAAAGGAGCAGAGAAACAATTTATCTTTACTCAGGGAATGTTGATTCAACTATGAAATATGTTTTTTTCCGCAAACTTTTATTCTTAGCTTCTAAGGCAGGATTACCTAATATACACCTCCTCAGCTGGCCGTTTGAAACTTGGAATTCTGCCCAGCTGACCCCTGGTGCCTGTAACCAGGTTTCATGTGGGGTGTTTTTAATGTCCCTGCTGCTTACTATGTTTTTATCCAGCACCTCAGTGATGGCTGTTTCTCAGATTGTTAGATGGATGAGAGAGGCAATCTTAAATGGTCTCTAGTTGGAATAAGGGACAGTACTTCCGGTGTTCAATTAATATTTCATTAAAATTGCTTTTTGTCTTAGCAAAGAGTGTGTTTTTTCTAGCATTTTTTTTTTTTGTACCTTTTAAATAACTTGTGCTTTTTTGCTTTCTGTAGATGTTCATTCTGGACAAAGTTGAAGGTGATACCTGTTCCCTGAATGAATTTACTATAAGTGGATCAACATATGCACCTGTTGGAGAAGTGTGAGTAAACCCTATCATTTACGGATCCTTTGTGTCAGCTTGGTACTTGTGAGACTTGCAGTGTGTCGAGAAAAGTTAAGGCAGCTCTCTGAACATGGCTCATGGCATCAGTTATTAGAGTAGAAAATTTTTTGTACACTTAAAAAAAATCTTTGCCCAGTTTTTCTTATTTTTATTTCGGGGGGGGAGGGGAATTGATTTTACACATCCATTGATTGCTTCTTGTATTTGCTCCGACTGGGGATTGAACTCACAACCTTGGGATGATGCTCTAACCAACTGAGCTACCCAGCTAGGGCAATTTTTGTACACTTTGAAAGAGAAAACACAAGTTATAAGCTAATGACCTACTTATTTCATCTTATTGAGCTCCCATTTGAAGCCTTAATTTCTAAGTGGGATTGATTAGTTTCTTATTTGTACCAGTGGTGGAGGAATTTCATGAACTAAGAAAATAAAGGTCAACAGAGATGACTACACTGTGCTCTAGGAGTGTTTTTTCTTTTGACAGGTATAAAGATGATAAACCAGTGAAATGTCATCAATATGATGGTCTTGTAGAACTGGCAACAATTTGTGCCCTTTGTAATGACTCTGCTTTGGATTACAATGAGGTAAGGCTCCTCAGAAATGAGAAACTAGACCTGACTGTTCCTAGTCAAGGGTGGGGTGGGGTGGTGAAAATCCAGCCTTCCTTCCTCCCTTTTGAAAGTACGGGTTCTGATTTTATTTCCCCTTCCATTCAAGATTCTATCTCTATCAGAGTCGGCATGGCTGAGCCAAAGAAAGCTGAGGGCCTTTCCTATGTTCTGCAGCAGAGCATTGCAGTTCCCTAACCAAGAGTTGTAGTGTACGTGATGTTCTCATTCGTTACTAGTTTGATGCTGCAAATTAATGAAACCCAGGCTAGAAAATGTTTTCCTGAATGTATAGGGTGTTGATCTCGCTTTTTAAGATGGTAGTGTTCTATCCTGAGGACAAGCTGAGGTTTAGAGGGTTGTTTTGATAACGTAACAGAAAACCTTTTTTCCTTTCTTTTGAATTATAGTAAGCTAAATCCTTTGGTTTCTAAAAAGCAAGCCATCAGAAACAATATCAACTCTGTAGATAAGTAATGACATGGAATTACTATTTGAAAACTTGGTTAGTTAATACTGTAACTAGTGGCTTCTTATAGTTAAGGGAAATGGAAAACCTAATGAACCCTTTGCACTCGGATGTCCCCTCTCAGGGGAGACACTGCAGTTTATTAGTGATTACGGGGAATTGAGTTAATTCAACGCACATGTCCACCGCAAAGTAGCGTCGAGTAGCCAATGTCCAGAATGGTTCAGAGTGCAAAGGGTTAATAGAATAAGATGAGATGCACACCTTTGCTTTGTTACATTTTTTATTATCTGGATCATGTGCTGGCCCATGGAATAATGATGTAGTGGAGGACAGGTTGTCCTCATATGGAAAAATTTCTATTGAAGACAAATTGTTTACTACTTTCCCTTTTTCTACTTTCTATGTCTTTTACCAATACAGGCAAAGAGTGCGTATGAAAAAGTTGGAGAAGCTACAGAGACTGCTCTCACTTGCCTGGTAGAGAAGATGAATGTATTTGATACTGAATTGAAGGGTCTTTCTAAAGTAGAACGAGCGAATGCCTGCAACTCGGTCAGTGTTAGAACTTGATATATTATGTTGTTCATGCTGCCCATCGCTTACACCACATATTTACTCTTATTGTAGGCAAGTAATTATCTCCCTTACCTCCTCAAACTTGCAATGTCTCCTTTCCCATATTCACTTTCAGATAAAATGGGTCTATCTGAAGAAAATAAAAGTAATCAACAGATAATTTCCACATGCAACCATCTGTGCCCATAAGGTCTGCCTTTTCCCACAGTGCTGTGAATGAACACAGCTGTCTAAAACTGACACACACAAAAATGGAGTAATTCTGAAGTCTGTTAATTTAATTTAAAATAACACACCACCACTCCACCCCCAAATTCTCCAGGCTGAATTCTGTCAGACACTTAAGAAATCTGACTTTGAGAAAAAAGTAAAAGGGAAACACTCATCATCTCATTTGATGAGGGATACCAAAAACTGACCTTAACATGCCAAGAAAAAGGAAGCAAACTAATTAATATGGGGAGAGAAATATCAATTTTGTTGTTCCATTTATTTATGCATCCATTGGTTGATTCTTGTATGTGCCCTGACCAGGGATTGAATCCACAACCTTTGGTGTTTCAGGATGATGTTCTAACCAACTGAGCTAGCTGGCCAGGGCCCAAACTAATATATTTAATGATAGAGATGGAGTGACAACACTGAGTTCAAATCAAGTCTAGTAATATATGAAAACAGTAATATGTTGTGTTCAAGCAGAATTACTCATAACTGCAAAGCTAGCTTAGCATTCCAAGGAGAATTGGTGTGGTGACTGTGGTGGAGGGTGCAAAGCCATGTTGTGTGACTGAATCCCCTCAGCTTCACAGAGACTGAGGTTTAGAGTAGTGTATTTCCAAACGTGTAATTACTCAATGAAGGGAAGTAAGTAATGGAGCTTACTTTATGGAGCTTAAAGGTGGTGTGTTTGCTGTAATGACCACAAATGAGGGCAGGACTGCATGTTTTGTTATTGTGCCTTGCTCTATCTGTCCCAGTGCCTGTCACATAATGGGTGTCTAATGAACATTTGTTGAACAAGTGAAAAATTTATAGAAATCATCGTCCAATGGCCTTTTATATATGTTCTCCTCATAGGTCATTAAACAGTTGATGAAAAAAGAATTTACTCTAGAGTTTTCACGCGATAGAAAATCAATGTCGGTTTATTGTACACCAAACAAGCCAAGCCGGACGTCGATGAGCAAGATGTTTGTGAAGGCAAGTACAGCAGGTTGCAATTGAGATGTTCTTGCTAGGATTAGGATCCTGGATGAGCCAGTAAATAAAATTGTTGACCTAAATCTGTAACGTTTTTCCAGGGTGCTCCTGAAGGTGTCATTGACAGGTGCACCCACATTCGAGTTGGAAGTACAAAAGTACCTATGACCCCTGGAGTTAAGCAGAAGATCATGGCCGTCATTCGGGATTGGGGTAGTGGCAGCGACACACTGCGATGTCTGGCTCTGGCCACACATGACAACCCACTGAGAAGAGAAGAAATGAAGCTTGAGGACTCTGCCAACTTTATTAAATATGAGGTTAGCTAATGAAGTTTCTTCACCCACACCCTGCAGATTCATTGTGTTTAAACAACACTCCTTTGGTAAAAGGTCAAATGTGTCTTGCCAAGAAAGAGGTGTGGTTATTTTTCTGCTGGCCAAATACATCACTATTATAATTTAGGTTGCTGCTTCAAACATATATAGTTAACAATTTAATACAAGTCTTTTACTTACAAAGTAGAATTATCAAGACTTGATAAACTTATAAAACCTATTTTGCAACTCCATGTAAATTAAGATATTTTAAAAAATGAGAATTTTTTTTTTTACTTGTTGGGAAGAGGGGAAGGGAATGGCAAGGGCATGCTCCTTGGAGAGAGCGTGCCTTTTTAACAAAAACATTCATTAGTTAGCAAAAGGTCAAAATACCCAGGTTGAGACTCGCCTACTTTCTGCTCATAGCAGAATTCTCTTGTATCAGTAATGTGACTTCCTGGTGCATTGAATGAGAGTACAAATTTTGACCATTAAATATTTAGTAATTCCCTGGTTTTTGTCATGATCTGGGCTGTTTCTCTAGGATTCTGTTGAATAGTAGGTAGGGCTGTGGGGCAATAAAGGGCCACTATCGCAGCGCCTATTCCTCAGATTGCTTTCCCCCCTCATTTCAGAATATTGTCCTTACAAAAGTTAAGGAATGATTTTATAACAAAAATGTAGCAATGCATTTGTTTCCTATTAACTGGAATTAATACTGTTCTTCATTGGATTTATATCTGTGAAGTATGAATATGTATGCATATTAATCTTAGATAAGAATCGAAGGTATAGGCTTTGGCATAAGAAAAATGCAGAAGAAACCTTTGCTAATAATGTATAAGTAGTCCTGTTTCTCACTAGGGAAAAAAACATCTTCCTGTTTCAAGATAAGGTGATTCTTTTGTGCAGACCAATTTGACTTTCGTTGGCTGTGTGGGGATGCTGGACCCTCCGAGACTTGAAGTGGCCTCTTCTGTGAAGCTGTGCCGGCAGGCAGGCATCCGGGTCATCATGATCACAGGGGACAACAAGGGCACGGCCGTGGCCATCTGTCGGCGCATCGGCATCTTTACGCAGGAGGAGGATGTGACGTTAAAGGCGTTTACAGGTCGGGAGTTTGATGAGCTCAGTCTGTCACAACAGAGAGATGCCTGTTTGAATGCCCGCTGTTTTGCTCGAGTTGAGCCTTCCCACAAGTCTAAAATCGTAGAATTCCTCCAGTCTCTTGATGAGATTACAGCTATGGTGAGTACAAATTTTGACCATTAAATATTTAGTAATTTCCTGGTTTTTGTCATGATCTGGGCTGTTTCTCTAGGATTCTCTAGGATTCTGTTGACTAGTAGGTGGTGTGCTATGTGTTGCATACAGGGAAGATTGTAGAATAGTACAACCCCACAGTACCTTCTGAATCAGTATCTTCAGTCACGAGGGAAGTACTTAGTGACATCGGGTTCCCTTTCAGACTGGGGATGGTGTGAATGATGCTCCTGCTCTGAAGAAAGCAGAGATCGGCATTGCCATGGGTTCTGGCACCGCAGTGGCTAAAACTGCCTCCGAGATGATCCTGGCCGATGACAACTTCTCCACCATCGTGGCAGCTGTGGAGGAGGGGCGGGCAATTTACAACAACATGAAGCAGTTCATCCGCTACCTCATCTCATCAAACGTGGGGGAAGTTGTCTGGTAGGTCCATAAGACAATCACTTGTGTTCCTTTATCTAAAGCTAGAGGCCCGTTGCAGGAAGATTCCTGTAGGAACAGGGCTTCCTGGATCATGAGCAAAGCCCGCTAACCCACCGCCTCCCTGCACTCTCCCCCGCTGCCGCCCTCACCCCACTTTCCTCTTTCCCTCCCTCTTCCTTGTACACTGCCTTCAGTCTTGGCTCCTTGTCTGTGTATGCAAATTGACCACCATGGCTGGTGGGTATAGCAGAGTGGTGGTGAATTTGTGTCTCTTTTTTATTAGTGCAGATTGTAGCCAGTTTTCCAGATTTGTTTTTCCTATAGCAGTAGCTTTGGTCTCTGAGCATGTGGTGGGGAAGGAGGTCCCGTCAAGATGAAGAAAGTTATTCCAAGTATCCATTGTTGCTGTCCATCAATTTTTATGGAGTATCCATTGTTGCTGTCCATCAATTTTTATGGAGGAGTCGGGCATGGTGATGCTATTTGAATAGTGACCTAATTTGGGATGTTTCTCTTTTTCCTTGGGTGGAAACAGTATTTTCCTGACAGCAGCCCTTGGATTTCCTGAGGCTTTGATTCCTGTCCAGCTCCTCTGGGTCAATCTGGTGACAGATGGCCTGCCTGCCACTGCATTGGGATTCAACCCTCCTGATCTGGACATCATGAATAAACCACCCCGGAACCCAAAGGAACCACTGATCAGTGGATGGCTCTTTTTCCGTTACCTGGCTATTGGCTGTGAGTAGTTTTATATTAATTTATAAACAAAACGTTTGTGAGCCAAAATTTTGTAAATTCATTCCTTAAAAGCACATTTTGCTACTCAATTTACAGTAAATTTACTCTGTTTTAGCATCTTCCTCCTGCCTTAGATCTTTGTGAGGTTTTCAGATTTAACATATGGACGAAGGGATACAGGGACTACTCAGGCTTTACATCACTAAGATAATAAGAATGAAGACGTGTGCTCATTAGCATAATGTGGTTGGTAAATGAATGCATGGACCTCAGCCACAGGTCAGACTCTTCTCCAGATGTCACCTATGTAGACTGCCTCCTCCTGATTCTGGTTCTCTTCCCCATTTTATAGGTTAGGAAAGGGAGTCCGAAAGAGGTTGGTTAACTTCCCTAGGGTTCCATAGAAAGGTGACTTTAAAATTCAAAAAGCCACCGTGGCATAAAGTGGGCAATCTCTTGGCCTGTCATTTCCCCTCCAATGGTAACAGTTTCTCAGATGCCCTTCTAGAGGGGCTCTAGCAAACAGATTTTGTCTTATCTTAAGCGATGGCACGCTGCACAGCCCTTGTGTGCTGAGCTTTGTCCTTTTGTATTTCTTCCGATGCTGGGTAATCCCCGCATCAGTGCCTGTGTAGCTAGCTGCCTTATCTCTGGGCACCAGCTGCCTACTGCACTGGTGTAATAGGTGGGTATGAGGGTGGGTGCACTTGTATCTTTTGGTGGATGCTACCACAGTGGTACATTTTCTTATTCTGTGTAACAAATGTGCTGAATTAAAAAGTAATGGGGAGTGGTTCTCATAATTGCCTTCAGGTGTTGCTCTGTTGCTTAGTATTCTGCATTAACTAAGTGCTCTAACAGCCTTTCCACATAACAGTCCTGCCAGGGTTTTGATGGAGCAAATTAATATACATTAGTGTACAACTGAGAGTATCAGTTTGCCTAAAAGTCGTGGATGGTGTGATCTGGTCCTACCACACTGCAGCCTTACTGTGTATTGGCAGTGGACTAGAGAAGGGCATGGCTATGGTAAAGGTCCTATACCAAATCAGTAGAACCAATTCCTCACAAACTCTGGCTGGATGGTTCTTCTGGACCACAGACCCCTCTCCTTGTAGAAGCCTTGGTCCAGCTGCTTTTGCACAGGCATTTCAGCTATTGTTGACATACCTTGTCTTTCATCAGTCCTGGTGAATGGATCCCGAGGCAGCAGCTACAATGAATGCTGCAGGCTGCAAACCCATGTGTCATTGTCGTGACGTTTGTTCCCAGGTTATGTTGGCGCTGCTACTGTGGGTGCTGCTGCATGGTGGTTCGTTGCTGCTGATGGCGGTCCAAGAGTGTCCTTCTACCAGCTGGTATGTAGCCATCTTCCTTTCTGTACCTTGGGTGCAGAGGGTTGCAAGACCAAACACTGTTAAGGCTCAATCTGCAGTTGCATCAAAAGATTATTCTGAAGAACCTGACTTTTCTGGAAAATGGGGTCAAGGTCTTGTGTGGGTGTGTTGTGGACTTAGGGAATTGGTACATGGACTTAGGAATTGTCCTTGGCTGACCATTGGGCTTTTGTTGCAGAGTCATTTCCTACAGTGTAAAGAGGACAACCCGGACTTTGAAGGTGTGGATTGTGCAATCTTTGAATCCCCGTACCCAATGACAATGGCCCTCTCTGTTCTAGTAACCATAGAGATGTGTAACGCCCTCAACAGGTCAGTGAATTCTCTTGGCAAGCTGGGTGAAGCTGGGACAGAAGGCGCTGTGTGATTGTGTGTGGTGTGTGTCATTGTTGAGGATCACAGGAAAGCCCTTCCTTCCCAAAAAGAAAGAACAAGCAGCACCTGCTCCCAAAGTGTGAGCCTCATCTCCAGGAAGTAGTGGGAGTGCTCAGCCATGTGTTTGTTCTAAGAGACAGGGAGGACGCCTGTATGCCAGTGTGCTCAGGGAAGGAAGGAGCTTTTTCCCTTTAGCATTGCAACCAAAGGTATCGTCCAATTAAGCCAGTGACAAAAGTGGAAATTTCAGAAATAGCCTAAATGTTAAGGGCAATTTTGAGACCAAAGCCTAGATTTTAAATTGGAAGTTTGTTCTACATCTGGACATTAACTTTGCTACAGTAGAAACTTTAGTCAGAGGGTAATGCCAAGTTAGCCGCTGCTTATTGAAGCGTATTTCTGAACAATCTGTCACTTGTGACACGGGCCTCTTTACCTCTCTCCTTGTTTAGCTTGTCTGAAAACCAATCTCTGCTGAGGATGCCCCCTTGGGAGAACATCTGGCTCGTGGGCTCCATCTGCCTGTCCATGTCACTCCACTTCCTAATCCTCTATGTGGAACCCTTGCCAGTAAGTAGTGGCGGGACCCAGGCTGGGGACTGGTTGCCTCTTCAGCAAGGCTGGGGCTTGACAAGGCTTCTGTGTTTCAGCTTATCTTCCAGATCACACCGCTGAATTTGACCCAGTGGCTAATGGTGCTGAAAATGTCCTTGCCTGTGATTTTAATGGATGAGACACTTAAGTTTGTGGCCCGCAACTATCTGGAACCTGGTAAAGAGTGTGTGCAGCCTACCACCAAATCCTGCTCGTTCTCCGCATGCACCGATGGGATTTCCTGGCCATTTGTGCTGTTCGCAATGCCCCTGGTGATCTGGGTATATAGCACAGACACTAACTTTAGTGATATGTTCTGGTCTTGACTGACAATTTTACATAAAGAAGATGTTTTAACTTAATCAATTTTTTTTTTTATTGTTTAAAGCAACTGTCTATTTCTGCTGAATTTTCACATGAACATATTGGCTGGTGAAGGAGGTTTCATACTCTAGATTTTGTTTTGCTTTTTCTGACTCCAGTGGGGCAAGATTTTCCTTTTTTATACACATAATTAAAGTGTCCATTGACATGTACAGAGAACTAACACTATTTTATGCAAATATTTTTTTGTAGATGACAAAGCATGTACAGTGTTCTGTTTAATACTCATCCTTGTATAAAAAAAAAATGTTGAGCCAGCAGACATTGTCAGCAAATTAATTGGCAGCAGATTTTAGGAAATGAATGTGTGTGGTTTTTTTCTAAAATGATATAGCATGTATTGTGTCTTTTGCATGATCATCTGGATTTAATCTAAGATCACAGTCTAATTTTTATTCATAAGCCAATTTTTCTGCACTGGGCAGAGTACTGCTACCTCAGTCAGTATTTTTTGGTTTGCCACTCCCTCACCCCTCTTGGTTCACCTCCACCCCTCCCCACTCTTGGCCCTGGTCCCCACACTGCTCGGCTGCTTCTCCGTAGGATTTCGATGGTTCTGTTTACATCAGTCTTAATAAGAGGTATGCCTGTTCTCGCTTGTGCAGAAAACATTGTTCCAGATTCGATTGGGTTCATGTCCCCTCAGATAGTTTTTAAGGTTATTTATTTAAATGTCTAGTGTATTTTATTGTAACAGACATTGTTTTGCCAACATTGCCTATTTCAGTGGCACTTCACAATCTAGTTTAAAAAATAAAACATTTTAAGTGGACAGAAAAATATCTGCCTTGTTTTTAACTCCTAAGTGGCCTAGCTTGAACTATCAACTTTCTCTTAAGTTCTTAGCTCAGACCTTTAGTTTTACTGTACTCCCAGGGAAGAAGGATCCTGTTCTGCTGCAGAGGTAGTTGTAAGAATTTTATTTTTTAATGTATAGGCACTGTCTTCTGTGACACATTTTATGCAAGTTTCTGCTGGCCTGATGTAGAGAACATAAAAGCAAATGTGTGTATGTATATGTGCGTGTATGTGTTTTGTAAAATCTGTAAATAGCACATGACCAAATGAACATATTGTATAGAACTATTTTTATTTGAATGTGGCACTAACCACCACCACCATACTATGATGCATGTTCCAGATCAGTCTTACCAACAGTGTATAAGTCATTAACAGTCCTAACTGTGGTGTTTTCCTCCAATGCCTTCCAACATCCATCAACTAATGTGAGTATTCCCTGAAATGTAGATGCTTTAACCTGAGGGTGACTGCTACCAATTGAGCTAGCTGTGTGACACTAGTGAACAAGCCCCATGTGTCAGGCATTGCTGTGCTCTGTGGCTGTCCCTGAGAGCAGGGGGCATATATGTGTTACCTGTGCCAGCTGTCTCGGAAAGTGGCATAGCCAGATGTTCATTGGGGAGGGTCTGGAGGAATAGAAACCCATTCTGATTTTGTGAGACTGAGCCTTTGTGAGGGAGCTGTGCCTTTGCTAGTGCTAAGGTTCACAAAAAATTGTGATTCTTTTGATCTTTGTTAGCTGCAAGGACTCATCCCAGAACCTTGGTTCATTAAAAAGCAAAAGCTAGTAAAAGCAAGTAACTGAATCGGTGAACTCACGTATCCGTAGGTTCCTCTTAAATAGACCACTTTTCCTCCTCTTCTGGGTCCCATCCTTTGCAGCTGAGACTTGTCTTCTCTCTGCAGGGTACATTTAGGCGTTAGTAGGGTAGGGCTCTGCTTGGCCAGCAGCCCACCAGCCTTGTTAGCAGGTGAAGGAGGCCTAGGAAGCACCTTGTGTTCAGTGGATTGGCAGCTTCCTCCCTGTGAGGCCCTGAGTGTTCTTGTGAAGGTGTTTGGGCCCTGGTTGCTAGACCAGAAGATGTAGTGCTGGCCGTTTCGGGGAAAAGTTAAGTATCAGGCAGGACAAGGGGGTGCTGCTGCCAAATCCAGAGGTCTGTGTGTGAGGAGGTGGATGTGGAGACTGACTGAATGCCGAGAAGGGAGGTTGGTTTGCTTGGCAAATAATGTAGGGGGGTAGTTTTACCCATTTTAGCATCATGAGTGATAAAAAGAAAGGGGCCAAGTGGGATCAAATGCCAGGAGTGTGTCTTGGCTACAAACCAAAACAGGATGTCTGAGCTTATTGGGTGGTGTGTTATTCAATGGAAACCAAACTAACCAGTCAACTTTCACTGACTCAGTTCCTTGATTTAGTGGCCTTTACAAAGTGAGCCGAGTGCTGTGGGCTGCTGTAGGAGACACGCACAGCCCCAGATGGCCCTGAGCTGGTGGGTCCTGGTGGTTTCTGAGCTTCAGGCCCTTCCCGCCCACAAAGGTAGTTTGGGCACCCACTTCCTTCAACCCAGACAGCCGAGTCCCTGTGTTTGCTCCAAATCGGGCCTCCTCAGCAATTGTGTTGCTGTGGGCACATCCATGGCTTCAGGTCTCAATCTTGCAGTGAGTGGCAGCCACCCAGTCCCCTCTTCACCGAACAGGAAGACACTGTTTTTGCCGCCATCAGTAATTGGATGGGGCAGCATCCTCCTTAGACCCACCATGCAGGTGGTGTTGCCAGGCAGTTCCTGCCTGAAACACTTTCCCTGTGGCCTGCGGCCCATCCCATTAGTGTTCTGCTTTTTGCCACTCCATGCTCACCTGGCGTTTCAGATACAGCTTTGCCCAGAAGATGACAATCTCACACATCCATCCCATTCCTGGGGCACCACTCCAGCAGCTTGTTCTGCATTTAAAATACAGGTAATATGTTCACATTCAATCAGGAGAGTGTGAGCCCAAAGACAAGCAAGACAACTGCCAGCCTCCCTCACAAGCAGCTGCTACCACATCACACTCAAGCTGGGCCACTGCCCCCCGATATCTGTGGGAGGCATCCCTCAGCAGTATGAGGCCACAAGCGATAGCTCAGTGTCTGCCAAGCACCTACCACAGCCCAGAGCCTGCTGCATCTACTGAGCTAAGTGGCCATTGCCTTTGAAAGCCACCAGGCGTCTTTCTTGAAAGGGAATGGTGATAAGCAGCTGAGTACAGAATTTTGTCTTGAGACCAGGCATGGCTGGGCCTGCCCCTGGGGAAGGATGGGGAGGAGGAAGCTAGAGGCTTGGCGCTGATTGCCACACTGCTCACTTCTGTCTGCTTCATGACCCTGCACTGCTAACTGAAAACCGTTCCTTCTCTTGCCCTGTTACACCTGAAGCGATTAAGCGCCTGCCTGGTGGGATTCTCCTATCAGCCAGGGAGCTTTGCTATGTAGACAGATGACACCAGGGATCTACGTTGCCAAGCCAGTGTTTCCAAATGCTACCCTGTGTGGACAGTGACTCGGAAACAGTTATCAGAAACACTGGTCTTAAAATCTTAAAAAGATCAAGCTGAATATTCTCTTTCAGCTCTCACTATTAATCTTAGTCTTAAGTAGTTATTCTAACATTTCCTCCCCGTGTTTCATAAAGCTGATTTCCTCTTTCTTTCCTTTTCAGCAATACTGGAGTAACCGCTTCCTAAGCCATTTTGCAGAAATGTAAGGGTGTTCGGTTGCGTGCATGTGCGTTTTTAGCAACACACCTACCAGCCCTCTGCATGATTGAAGTTGGGGGTGGGGGAAGAAAAGTAGGAAAAAAAGCTCCCAACTCATTGTGTGTTATGTGGAGGAAATGTGTATTACCAATGAGATTTTTAGCTTTTAAATCAAAGTAATAATTACAAATGTACAACTTAGCTTAATGAATCTGAAAGCCTATCCAGAGAATTTTGGTTTCTTTGCTGCAAGAAGAATGAGGTTCTGAAACCTTATCCAAGAACTTAGACACCATCAGCCAAGTCTCCGTGCTTCTCTGTCCAAAATGTCATAGCTTATATAAATGTACAGTATCAATTGTAATGCATGCCTTCAGTTGTAAGTAGCCAGATTTCTCTACAGTGTCATTGAAACATGCTACTTTTTAATTGGCCCTGTACAGTTTTTGCTTATTTATAAATTTATTGAGAACACTACAGGTGTTGAATGGTTAAAATGTAGGCCTCCAGTTCATAACTTGTTAAATTTTGAGTGTGCAAACAGCTATTTTGCGCTGTATTAAGTATAACTTATTTAATGAAATCAGAAGCAGTAGACAGATGTTGGTGCAATACAAATATTGTGATGCATTTATCTTAATAAAATGCTAAATGTCAATTTATCACAACGCATGTTTGACTTTAGACTGTAAATAGAGATCAGTTTTTTTCTGTGCTGGTAACAAGCATTGCACAGACATGGTTTCAGGTAAATAAATCTATTCTACAAGTTCACAGTGTGGTGTTGATTGTTCTCCTATGAGAGGGGTGGGTGCTGTGCATGAGGGCCTGCAGCCCCGAGCAGTTTTGCCCTCGTATAGATAAGAGGAAGGGGGAAAGTGGTTGGAGAGCAGAGTGGCAGAAGGTCTGCTTATGTGATAAGATTTATAAAATGTTCCTGCCCTGGCTCAGTCTCCCATCAGTGGAAATCTCAGAGACTGCAGCAGTGGAGAGATGGTTCTAACATTGTTCAGATTCTACCTTCCTGTTGTTAATATAGAAAACAGAACTGAACTGAAATAGGACAGAAAAGTTCATTTGGTAGTTATTTAGTACTTATCTGCCTAGGCCTTTTCTCTATAAATTTTCTAAGATTTTTTTTTTTTTTTTTTGGTCACCTAAAGAAAAAGGAATCGGATATAAGAATAGTTGGGTGATTCTATAAACCAATAAATACAAGTTCTATCAACTCTATAGATATGGAATAACCATTTGATTAAATTTAACATCCAGATTATAACTCACATTTTATAACATGAAAAATAAGCCAGAAGTATTGAAACACCAGAATTACTCACCATCCACCATTGCCTCTGCTAGCACTGTTCTGGAGAACTGTGGCCATCAGACAAGAGAAAATGCCTAGAAGTAAACAGAAAAGCAGTGTTCACATATCAGATGTATTGAAAGGAACATCTGGTTCTTAGGAAAGTTTGATTTGGGGGGAGAATGGGGAACTGACATCTTAATCTGAAGGATATATGATTTATATGCTAATGATACATGAAAATACCATAAATTGGGTTATTCATTATGCCAGTGGTCATCTTGGAGGGGAGAGCTGTATCCCCTATACCCAATCAATTACAAATGGATCAAAAGGCTTGAAAATGAAACTACATCCCCAAAAGAAAAATGTCTAAATGATATAAAAAGAAAACTGGAATGGTTTACACATAAGATGTTCAACCCCACTGGCAAATTAAAATCAATGAGATAATACATTTTATGCCCATCAAATGAACAAGAAAATGGATCTTCTAATATCTAGGGTGTGGAAAATGGGCCCTCACATTGCAGAACAACTGGGTAAGTTTACAGATGCTCTTAATATACCACCCAGCAGGTCCACTCCTTAGAATTTTTCACACCATTATCAAGATGTTTGTTAAAGTATTGGAAACAACCTAAATAACCATTTTCTTGCTGTTAGGTACATTTGAGGCACATCAAAATCACACTGCAGCAACGAAAAAGAATAAACCGGAGGAGGTATCAACAGAGATAAATCTCCCTGCACAGAGAAACCATGTATATCAACTTCAAAGTATGCAAAACAAGAGGACCATGTAATAGCTAATCTGGCCTTAGCACATCTGACTGAGACACATGCACTACTAGAGTCTAAATGCACAGCTTCTAGGGAAAGTCTTAGAAAAAATGTCAGCTAAACTAAGCCAAAAATATTTACATTTCAAGTGCAAATTCGGCTCCACGTGGACTAGTAACTCGGAAGACACCAGCTACAGGGGAGGTGATAGGATAGTGGTTCGTTCCAGGAGGAAGGGAGGTGAGAGACAGGCAGGTGGTCAGGGCTTCGCCTCTCAGTAAATGCTTCATTGCTATGTATATAGGTGTTCATTGTGCCCGTTTTATATGTCTGAGATTTAAAAAACAAGGCATGAAAGTATCAGGAGAAAACATGGAAGAAAAGCCTTTTTTTTTTTCTAGGCATGGAACAAAATCCTAGAAGACTGATAAATTGACTATATAAAAATGTAAAAATTTCATATAGAAATGTAAAAATTCCAGAATAGACTAGCTCTCTAGAGTTAGGAAAAGAGATTTGCTGTGCTTGACAGAGCATAATCCATTCACATGTTTGGCGAAGATCAAACTTTGATATTGATCTCTCCCCTTTGCAGCTGGCATTAGGAAAACAAGTACTTATGCTGATGGTGAGAATATAAATTGGCCCAATCTCTGGAAGGCAATTTGACAATATGTGATATTTTTGAAAATCCATAACCTCTGATTAAGCACTTGAATATTATATAGTCCTCAAAAACAAGGTAGATCTGTGTGAACTGGCAAGGAACAATGCCTAGATACATTGTCTGCTCAGTAAAACAAGTGCAGAGCAGTGTATAATATTCTACCATTCGCTTTAAAAAGGAGAAAGTTTCCAGCAATGCTCGCTGAGAATAACTGAAAACACTGATACAGATGGTGGGCACTAGGTTTCTCACTGTTAGAGTGGGAGGTTACAAATAAGCAAGGGGAGAAGTTTAGAATGATCCATACAGTAATGAATTACAGTTGGAGACACCAGGATGAACTGGTGTCTCCAATTTGATATTTAGCTTGATATAGATGATTTTATACAGGACTATTTCTAGTTATCCTATCTAATATGCTAAGTATTCGGTCATCTGGTTGTTCAACCAAAGTGTAATATGCTAATGATATGCTAAGACCGCTCAACTGCTTGCTATGACTTGCACTGACCACTGGGGGGCAGACAGTCAACTGGTCAACCAGTTGATGTGCACTGACCACCAGAGGGCAGACACTCCAACAAATAGGTTAGCTTGCTACTGGGGTCTGGCCGATTGGGACTGAGCAAGATGGGCTAGACATGCCCTGGAGCCCTCTTGCAGTCCTCCTGGGCTGGCCAACCTCCCTCATCTCTTCCTGGCCCCGATCATGCACCGGTGGGGTCCCTCGGCCTGGCCTGTGCCCTCACAATCTGGACTGAGGGACCACCCCCACCCCCACCCTGAGTGCATGACATGCACCAGGCCTCTAGTGTGTATATAAATATATATTTCCTTGCACAGTCAACTGAGGGGTGAGAGCAAGGACACTAGTAGTTTTAGGTTTCTAAAAAATAAATAGAAGGAATCAAGCCCCCTGGAGAAATGGCTGATTCCAGGGCTGGGATAGGAAACAAACAGCACGTGCCAGAAAGTAAGGAAGCGCTCAAAAATCAAAACCATACATAATGAGGTCATGTCAGAGAGAGACAGAAGCCAAATGAAAAAGCTCCAAATGACCAGAATTGGAGCAATCTGAGAAAGTGGGACTGGACTATAATCCAAAGTATAAAATACATTTCCACAAGTCCATGTCTACATAAATGAATCTAGAAATTTCCCATACAGAAGAGTTCCACATAAATACTCTGCCCTCAAGAAGGGACACATAAGTCCCTATTCCTAAGTGTGAGCTGTAAATAACCCACAGGGGAGAAACTGACAGACACTACCCCAGCCAAGTGAGGTAGGTCATCTTGAGAGCATGTCCCCATGGTCTGAAGTGATAAAAGTGGCATCTCACCTGTGATCTTCCTCTCCCCTAAAGCATATAACCTCAGTTTAATCAAAGGCAAAATATCTGACAAATCCGAAAAGACATTCTGCAAAATACCTGATTGGCATTCCTTAAAAACTGCTGAGGTAATCAAAAACAAGGAAAATATGAGAAACTCACAGCCAAGCAGAGCCTAAGGACACGCAGTGACTGGATGTAACACTAGACTGGATGGGATCCTGGAACAGAAAGAAGCAAAAATTAAAGAAATCTGAATAAACTATGGGCTTAGTTAATAAAAACATATATTGACTCATAATAATGTATAAGTAATGTAACAAATGTACCATATAGTTGTAAAATGTTAATAGAGAAAACTGAGTATGGAGTATATGGAAGTTCAGAGTTTATTTTAAAATGCTGGAATATATATTTCTTAAATCCTCATAGAAATATCAAAGAACTACAAAATGGTACATAATTTCCAGTCCAAAATCTAAGAGAATGCGAGAAAGAATCAAGGTCCCTTTTCTCCTAGTAAACTAAGCTGTGAAAACAAGCAAAATTTTGATAGCTCACTGAGTACAAAAGGCGAAATCAAAATCCAGGGCCCACCAAACGTGGGGAGTCTCCTAGGACATCAAGCTGTGGCCCTGAAAGATGAATTCTGTAGGGAAGTGCCTATCAGTAAACAAGTAGATAAATGAGCTGTGGTAGCCGAAAGATGAATTCTGCAGGGAAGTGCCTATCAGTAAACAAGTAGATAAATGAGCTGTGGTAGCCCTAGCTGGTTTGGCTCAGTGGATAGTGTCGGCCTGCGGACTAAAGGGTCCTGGGTTTGATTCTGGTCAAGGACACATGCTTGGGTTGTGGGCTCAATCCCCAGTGGGCAACGTGCAGGAAGCAGCCAATGGATAATTCTCTTCTCATCACTGATGTTTCTATAGCTCTCTCCTTTTCCCTTCCTCTCTGAAATCAATAAAAATATATATTTTTTTAAAAAGCAAAAGCTGCCGAAGCCGGTTTCGCTCAGTGGATAAAGTGTTGGTCTGTGGATTGAAGGGTCCCAGGTTCGATTCCAGTCAGGGGCATGTACATTGGTTGCAAGCACATCCCCACTAGGGGGCGTGCAGAAGGAGCTGGTCAACATTTCTAGCTCTCTATCCCTCTCCCTTCCTCTCTGTGGAAAATCAATAAAATATATTAAAAAAAAAAAAAAAAAAAAAAGCCGAAACCGGTTTGGCTCAGTGGTAGAGCGTCGGTCTGCGGACTGAAAGGTCCCAGGTTCGATTCCAGTCAAGGGCATGTACCTTGGTCGCGGGCACATCCCCAGTAGGGGGTGTGCAAGAGGCAGCTGGTCAATGTTTCTCTCTCATCGACGTTTCTGGCTCTCTCTCTCTCTCCCTTCCTCTCTGTAGAAAATCGATAAAATATATTAAATAAATAAATAAACAGCAAAAGCTGTGGTATTCTTACACCATGGAATACTGTGCAGCAGTAAAAAGATCTCTTACCCTTTGAGACTGCATGGAGGGACTTGGAGAGTATTAATCTAAGCCAAATAAGCTAGTCAGAGAAAGACAAGTATCACATGATTTCACTCATATGTGGGATCTAATGAACAAAATAGATCCAGAGCCGGGACCGATTTGGCTCAGTGGATAGAGCATCGGCCTGCGGACTGAAAGGTCCTGGGTTCGATTCCGGGCAAGGGCATGTACCTTGGTTGCGGGCACATCCCGGGTAGGAGGTGTGCAAGAGGCAACTGATCGATGATTCTCTCTCATCGATGTTTCTAGCTCTCTATCCCTCTCTCTTCCTCTCTGTGAAAAATCAATAAAATATATATATTTTTTAAAAAAAAATAGATCCAGACACACAGAAGCATGGAACAGACTGTCAAATTCCAGAGAGAAGGCGGAATAGGTGAGTGGGTGGGAAGACATCAACTTGTAAGCACATATGCATAACCCATGGACACAGACAATAGGGTGGTAGAGGCCCGAGGAGGGGGCAGGATCAGGCTATCAGGGTTAATGGGAGAATAAAGGGAACTTAAGACAGTAGCCAGAGTGACAAGGTATATCAACTCCATGAATAAAACCTGGTGGAAACTATCACAACTCTTGTTACAGTGTATATATCTGATTTCTTATTAACTAGTTCGGCTCAGTGGATAGAGTGTCGGCCTGTGGACTGAAGAAGGTCCCTAAGTTCGATTACAGTGTGGGATGTGCAGGAGGCGGCCAATCAATGATTATCTCATCATTGACATTTCTTTCTCCCTCTCTGAAATAAAAAATATATATATATTTAAAAAACAAGGAGTGAACATATGCTACTGAATAACAATAAGCAAATAATAAAAAACAAACAAATAAGGTAGCCTAAAAAATACCTCACCAACCCTCCTCAAAATTGTCAAGGTCATCAAAAACAAAGAAAATCTGAGAAACTTTCAGTCTTCTTAGAACCCTTTGGAGACATACTGACTAAAAGTAATGTATTGCCCTAACCGGTTTGGCTCGGTGGATAAAGCGTTGGCCTGGGGACTCACGGGTCCCAGGTTTCAGGTCAAGGGCATGTACCTTGGTTGTGGACACATCCCCAGTAGGAGGTGTGCAAGAGGCAGCTGATCGATGATTCTCTCTCATCGATGCTTCTAACTCTCTCCCCCTCTCCCTTCCTCTCTGTAAAATATCTATTAAAAATATTTAAATAATAATAAAAAGAATGTCTCTTACTAAAAGACGAATGAGTTATAGCAACAATATAAATCAATTTCTTAAATAATGTTAAGCAAAAGATTTGCTGAAGTACAGGCAACAAGTTCAAGAACAAGCAAACAGAAAGTGTTGTTTAGGATGAAAAAACACGGTAAAACTGAAAACAGAACAGTATAATTTTACAATTGAGCAAAATGAACTCACAATTTGCACAAGGTTCACAATTTACATGGCTCAGTGGTTTGAGAGTCAACCTATGAACCAGGAGGTCACTGTTTGATTCCCAGGTGTCAGGGCACACGCCCGGATTGCGGACTCGATCCCCGGGGTGTGCAGGAGGCAGCCAATTGGTGAATCTCTCTCATTATGGATGTTTCTCTCTCTCCCTCTCCCTTCCTCTCTGAATATATATAATCTCCAGGGTCAGAAAGTGAAATATAAAAACAAAATTCAGAATAACGGTTGCCTTTGGCAAGGTTGGGGCAGAGGAGGGTGGGAAGAGAGAGGAATAGGATGTGATCAGATTTGAGCACAGAGCAGGCTTCTGGGATTGTGGAAACGTTCTATTTCTTATCCTGGGTGGAGTGTATAGCTGCATTTTATGTGATTCTTCAAACACCACATATGTTGTCATGTATCTTTATATGTATTCTATATTTTGCAAATTTTACATTTTATTAAAAAATAAAAGAACTACTTCTCTGGCCGCAAAGCAAGCTCTGTCTGGACCTGGTACACTGGAACTATTGTGTAGGAAAGCCACCCTCCTGTGTCTCCTTAGGTGTCTCCCGCTGGCCCTCCCTTAGCTGATGGGAGATGCCCTCCTGGTCAACACATGGATGGCTTGAGTATATGCCTGACAGTCCAGAAAAAGCTCCGGATGGGGACAGGGCATAAGGGTCACTGCTGCCCCTTCCTATCACACACTGTCAGGCTCAGCCTGAGCCTGTGTGGGCTGTGGGAGTCAGTCAGCTTGTTTCAGCCCAACAAGGATGGGGCTATAATCTGGGCACCAACAAAGTCGGAGAGCAGAGGCCTCTCTCAGGACAGATCCCCGATTGCTGCCATTCCCACTCAATTCCTGGACAAAATCCCCACTGCCCCAAGGGACTGATAAGGGAGATGGGTAATGGGCCTGGAATGAAGTCACGGGTAACAGATGATCCAAAAATTAACAAATTATTTTCCTGGGTTAGAAGCTCATGCAGGACTAAGTCTGACACGGAGAGGGACTCAAGGCAAATCAGTTGATCCAGCACCAAAGGGGGCCCAGCCATGGGCCAGAGAGCAAGGCTCATGACTCCAAAGGGACAAGATGTAGACCTGGGAGGGCCACTCCCCTCCTATACCCGCCCCCACCCCGGGCTTGAGTGCTAACAGTCCTCCCACAAAGCCTTCATACCTGACCTTAGGGAAAGGGGACCCAGCTGTCTGAGCGCTTGTCCAAAGGAACATGGAGGCACAGCCAGCCTCCAACTACACAGCCAGGGACAGGCCAGGGGCCTGCGGCGTCCATCTGGTGGAGAGGCCTCCCTCTGGGACGCTCAGTCCTCCTATTGGGAAAGTGGGGTCCTCCAAGAGGGCCCTGGAAGAAGAATGGACACTCAGAGAGGATACAAACAGCCAGCATCCCCCCATCCCCTGAAGCAGGAAAGCTCTGACCTCAGGCCAGAAAACACTCCCCAACCCAGAGCCAACAGGGCCGTCCTGTGGGGAAAGGGGCCTAAATTCCAAAGGCCCAAGAAAGCGAAAGCAGAGTCCACAAGCTCCCAGCTCCAGCAAGAGGGAGTTTCAGTCCCATTTCACTGGGGTAGCCGGGGGAGGGCACAGGGCAGCCTGGGCTCACAGATTTACTGGAGAGAGGACTGGCCAGTTCCCTTGGAAGTTCTAAAAAAGATCATTATACCCTTTCACTCAGAAATCCTCCGCCTGGGAACTTACCCAAAGAAGGAAAGGGCTGTGAGCACAGAAGCCACCGGACAAACGCCGGGAGATTTAAGTGGCCAGTGAGAGCCGTGTCCTTCTGGTGCTGCCCTGGCCGCAGGGTTTGGCAGCCTTAACACCAGCAAGCCTGTGTGCTGGATTTGAAGAGCACAGACATGTGCTGAAGTCAGCTATTTTCCCTTTAGCAGACTATAAAACTGTGTAGAGATCACAGTTAAGAACGTATTGAAGTTACAGGGGGAGAATCTCAGACAAAAACAGCCAACATAAGTGAGACTGAGTTTGCTCATCTATTAAATGGGTCTAATTCCACCCGTGCTTCCGTGTGTGAGGCGAAGGATGTGAGAACACAGGCAAAGGGCTTGCCTCACTGCTGACCCAGATGAGCACTCAAGAAGTAGCAGCTTAACTAAGCAAGTCAGAATGATCGAAAATCACATCTAAGACTGGGGAGAAACAAATGCTGGCGGCACCAGTACTGGCAAGGCTGTGGGAAATAGGCACTCCCACCTTTTTGGGGAGCAATCTCACAGAAACCTCTAAGCACACACTCTGAGATCCAGAAATTTCACTATAAGGAATTTGATCTCTGCACGTTTTTGGAATATTATGCAAACATGTTTATGACAGTGCAAACTACCAATCAAATAAACAAAAAACACCAAATGCCCACCAAAGGCGACAGGTTACAGAAACTGTGCCATCCAAAGAATGAGATTCTGTGAAACTGTCAGAACCAGCAAGGAAGAGCACATTGACACCGCTGCGTGTAAGCATGACCACTTTGGTATACTTTATATATACATATCATTAGTTAAAAGCTCAATACCATTTTTCTAAAGATAGTACAGAAACTTATTTTGCAGAGCCAGGGATTCAGTAGAGATTTGAAAGTAGATATGTTAAATTTTACACTTCTCTCTGAATTTTTTAAACCATGTGCTTATTTTGCAAAGAGAAAAAAACACAGGGACAAAATGGCATCACTCATGCTAAAAGTCCATGATATTAAGCCTAGATTTAATACCTGATCGAACTATGGTTTTAACCTCTTCTAGAGTCAAAATAGTTTTTTAAAATATATTTTTATTGATTTCAGAGAGGAAGGGAGAGAAACATCAATGAGGAGAATCACTGATCAGCTGTCTCCTGCACACCCTCCACTGGGGGGCATGTGCCTCAACCGGAAATTGAACTGTGACCTCCTGGTTCCTAAGTCCACACTCAATCACTTTACCACACCAGCTGGGCCCAGAATCATAATTTTAACCAGTCTGGAATTTTCTGGTTAAGCTCCAGTATCTGTCACAAGGGCCCTGAACAGGCAATCTGCATGATAAAACCCTTATCCTTCTCTTCCCCCATAGAAAGATGTCGCAGGCCCTGAAATAATCCTTTTTCTTTTGTCAGTAGTCCCTTTACTCCCTCTGCCTATAAAACCCTTATATTTTGCACAGCCCTTCCGAGTGTCCTTCTGAATGAGATGCTGTCTGATTCATGAATCGCTTTAATAAAGCCAATTAGATCTTCAAATTCACAGAATTGAATTTTTTTCAACCGTTTACATATATATATATATATATATATATATATATATATATATATATATATATATAACAAATACTTGTGTTAATAAGGTTATTTGGATGGCAGAATTACAGACCACGATATATGTAACAAAATTTTCCGTCTTAATAATTTTTAAGTGCAATTCAGTGGCATTAAGTACATCCACATTGTTGTGTCATCACCATCACAGATCTCCAGAACTTTTTCAACATTCCAAATGGAAACTCTGCCCCATAGACACTAACTCCCCATCCATCCCCCCTCCTTCCAGCCCCTTCTGCATGTCTATGGATTTGATTCCTCTGGAGATCTCATCTACAATTGGAATCAAACAGTATTTGCCCTTCTGTAACGGGCTTATTACACTTAGCATAATGTCATTAATTTTCACCCATGCTGTAGCATGACGGGATTTCCTTCCTTTTGAAGACTGTATTACATTCCACTGTATGGAGGTTGCAGCTCGTTTATCCATTCATCTATCCAACAATGGGCCCTTGGGTTGCTCCCATCGTTGGCTATTATGAATGCCATGAACATGGGTGTGTAGATATCCGCTTAAGACCCTGCTTCAATTCCCTTGGGTATTGCTAGATCATACGGCAATTGTTCAAATTTTATAAGAACTGCCAGACTGTTTTCCACAGTGGCTAGATCATTTACAATACCACCAGCAACGCTCAAGGGTACTCTATTTTAAAATTGTTTTCTTTTAAGGGGTGGGAGGGGGGGAAAAAATAAAACTTTTCTTTTAATGGCTGCTAAGGAGACTGACTTGAGGGCTTTAGGCTTATTCCCATTGTTACTGTCACTGTGTGGTTTCTGAAATACATGACATGTTCTGTGCTGGCAACAGTGAAATCTCCCACGGCAATCTGGGAAACCCCGCAATCTGGTTAGCCCCGACTGGTGGCAGGCCCGGTGCAGCAGGGCCAGGTCAGAAGACAGAAGCCTGCGCTCCACGCCCCTCCTGCTGCCGGGGGAGGGAGGCTCCTGACGTGGAAAACCTTTCTAAGGCACTTACCTTTCCAGAGGCCCTGGCAGGCCTGATGTGACCACCGCCCACGGAGGCCAAGGCGAAGTGCTCGTTGAGTCAGGCTTCACTGCCTGTCAGCAGAGAATTCGGTCCTGGGCAGCGGGCAGTTCTGCGGCTTCGGAGCTGGCTGAGCTGGCCTGGGCATGGGCATGGGCCCCAGAGACTGGTCATGAGCGTTGCTCCCACCCACAGGGAGCCACTGTGAGGCCTCCAGGAGCCTCTGAAGTCAGGCCTGCAGCTTTTGGGGCCCCCCAACCCCCCTCTTAGGTTTCTCAAAATTTGGACCAGGGAATACTTATGTTGGAAAAGAAAGCCCTAACCGGTTTGGCTCAGTGGATAGTGTCAGCCTGCAGACTGAAGGGTCTCAGGTTCAATTCATCAAGGGCATGTACCTTGGTTGCAGGCACATCCCCAGTAAGGAGTATGCAGGAGGTGGCTAATCGATGTTTCTCTCTCTTCCATGTTTCTAACACTCTGTCCCTTCCCCTTCCTCTCTGCAAAAATAAAAAATATATTTAAAAAAATAAAGAAGTCAGGGTGGGAGTGATAAAAGATGCAGACTCCTGAGCCCAGGTACTGGATTTGGATTAAGACTTGGTACTGGGCCTGGAAACCTGCATCATTGAAAAGCAAAAGTTTGGCAGGTGCATTTGGGAAATAGCTGGCCTCATTCTCTGAGGAAGAACTCACAGGCACGGCTGTGGCCCCGATCGAAGGCTGGCAAGGAAAGCTTCCGGCATCGGCCCTGCCAGGTCTTGGGCGCACTGAACGGGCTCAGAACTGGAGTATGAAAGACCAAGCTGCAGGGCAGGGAGCACCCTTCTTTAGGACCCTGCCTCCCTGCTCAGCTAAAGGACCACAAAAAGAAAGGGAGGCGGCTTCAGCCCAGTCTCCGATTCCCCCGAGAAGAATCGGCAATCTGGTATTTACCCTGACGGTGGTGGTGACATTCACAGCAGGCATCATGCTGAACTCCATACGGGGTTTATTCAGTCCTCAGACCCAGGCAGATGTGGGAGCCCGGGCCATGGAAGCTAACTACCAGCCTGACCCGCATCGCTGACAGCGGGAGAGCCGGGACTTACAAACCCAGTCAGTCTGATCCCACACCTGTGCTACAAACGGGGGGGAGAATGATAAGAATCAGTTAAAACATCCCCATATTGGCTGTGCGAAACTCTAGGCACCAGAAGGCACCTGGGAGGCCTCCGCTCGTCAGGTTGCTTGGTCTCCTAGCAGGTGGTTCAGTGGAACAGCCGGAGCTGGGCAGCCTGACTCTGTCCCAGTTCCCTGCCTACATAGGTTTTTTTGTTTGTGCGAAGTGATAGTGGGAGTGGTACCAGTTGAGATCTTCAGCACTCTCCAGGCCACTCTTCCCATTCTCTGATGTGGACTAAGTATTCCCAATTCTACGTCAGGCGCTCTAAAGATGTAGCTTCATTTGTCTCTTCCGCCTGGAACCTGTCAGGACAGAAATGCTGGAGCTGCAGGTGGGAGGGGCCATAAGGATCTAACCCCAGATGACGCAGGGATGGAGGAGCTTGGAATAGAGACTGATCTAGGACCTCCCAGCAGAGCAGAGAGGGACAGCCCAGGAAAAGGGAGACACTCAAGGGCACTAAGGCACAATCTGAACCCGAGGGAATCTCAGGGGTCATGGTGAGGAGACTGGGGTGGGGTTCTCTCCCCAGTCAGGGGAATGGCAAAGGGGTTCCACCTTTTCTCCCGATGCACTGACTGACAATGGCTGCTCAGAGGCAAGCTGAGGAAGGACATGCAGCTGCATTCCGGAGTGAGCACTAAGGCCAACGAGCAGCGTCTTCTCCAGGCCACATGGTCCCACTGCCTGCTGGGCTCTTTAGAAACTGCTCCATCAAATGCTGCTGCCCAGGCACTGGTTCTCATACTGAAAGATACTTTAACAGTAACTTTTTGTCCACTTAAAATTAGTTATCAGATGTTCTGAGCTTTTAAACTACTATACACTTTAGAACAGAACTTTCCCTGTACATCAAATTCATATTTTATACCACCTTTGACTAAATTTGTTTTGTTTTTTTAAGTGCATATTTTATTTTTAATAAATCTTTATTGTTCATATTACAAATGTTCATTCCCCCCTTCCCCATTGCTCCCCTCCCCCAGGTTCCCACCCCACCCTCTGCCCCCCCCATTGTCCTCATCCATAGGTGCAGTTTTTGTTCAGTCTCTTCCCACACCCCCCTCTCCTCTTTTCCCTGAAATAAATTTGTTTTAATGAGAATTTGAGGTTAGTTGTGCCAACCCCCAACCCCACACTTAATGGTTACCTATACTGTCAAAAGCATCACCTCTTAAATAAGGCGTATGAGGGAATGACCCCTCTGATGACCCCACAGCAAATGCTGAAACCAGACACCAACCTCAGAGGTCCTGACAGCCAGACAGAAACAGTCTAAAATCTGGCCAAAGACTCTCCCCCAGGGAAATTTACCAAGAAAATGCAAATGAGCTGGGTGAACCAGCTCAGTGTTACCCAAGGTTCCCAATCCTACTGGCTCCAACCCTCTGGAGCCAGAGAGGATGGATTTATATGGAAGGTTGGTCAGGCTCATTTAAACAATGAGGTCACTACTAGAAACAGGGAGCCAGGGGGCAGAACCCCTGCTGCAATCACATGCTGATCATCGTCCTCCCAGAGAGCGGGCTCCTATGGTTCTTTCAGTCCATGGAAGTGCTCAGCGCAGGGCAGGCCAATATGGCCATGGAGCCGCCACCCGCCTCACTGCATGCCGAACCACTGCTCCTGGTCAGCCCACTGGGCCGCCTCACTGTCGCTGCCCTCCAGGTCCCCTTCTTCCCCACTCCCTTCCATGTCGTCCACATCCTCCTCCTGAGTGGCATCCGTGGGACTCTCCTCCTTCTCCATCTTCTGCATCCCCTCTAGAGACTTCTGGTCATTGGGGTCCAAACTAGGGGACAACAAAACAAAGGAGAGACCTGAATCTCTGCCTTGCTTCTTGCTGGCTGATGCGCCATCTCCCTGGCTCGCCAGTGAAATGACCACCCAGGCACAGAGAAACTGCGAATGCCTGGCTCTCCAAACAACTCCGGTCCCAAAGGCAGGACCAAGGGAATCCACCGCTAGAAGTGAAAGAAGTGAAAAAAGGTATCTTGTCCTAATCTTCAGAATCTTCAATTTGAGTTTTTCTTTTATTTCTTAAACCTTTTCACACATATCCCCTAGCACTAAGCTAGAGGAAGCAATCAGATAACACAAATGAAAAAGTAGTAAACCCCATTAACAGAAAAACTAAAATGTAATTTCTAACAGTATTAGGTTTTTAAGCTACAAGGTTACAAAAAATATTTTCCTGTGAATAAAACTGTTCCATGTTCTTATGAGACAAACATATCAGCATTGTAGGAGTTAACCAAAATCATGCTTACCATGGAACAGACTTGTCAACTCCTAGGTTAGACCCCAGGACCCAAAGCAACCCCTATCTGAGCATTCGAGTTTAATAGCTAAGAGCCATTACATGTGCAAAAGCCCCCAAAGTTCAGAAGCTCAAGAACATTTATCTACTTGGCTCCTAAGCAATCTTTCCTCTTTCCTTTGTGACCATCACCCAAGCCAGCAGGTGTCCAACCTCTAACAAATCCCACCTGTAATAAAAGTCTGGCATTTTATTTTCTCTCTTGCTTCTGGGCTTCCAAAAAGCAGACAAAACCCATGTGGGAATCCTGTTCCTACTTATATACCTGTAGATTGATTTGTATTATCTCCTCTTCTCTAAAACCTTCCATCCAGCTCTCACCCACACCCAGGGCTCCCACCCTCCTCTGTACTCCCACCTTGCCGTCTACAGACTGCTATGAAAGCACTTAGCACGTGGTATCCATCAGTCTGCACGCCTGAGCCTAAAAGCAACTGGAAGCGCGGCATCCCCAGTGGTTACTGAGATGCCAGGCACAGGAGTGGTGCTCAGCTGCTGAATAAGTAAATGAACGTGATCAGACTCAATTACAGACAGGCCTCACCAGGACCTTACAGACACACAGACAACCTCAAAGAAATCACTTCTGTACTAAGCAGTAAGAATACCACCATTTATTTAGTATTTACTATGTACCAGGCACAGTGCTAAGAGCTTTACATGGAAAAATCATTTAATCCTCATTTAATCTTTTAATACCTAGTACGACAGATAGATACAGACAAGGAAATTTGTTAGTAACTCGCCCAAGATAACAGGTGGTGGAAGTAAGTAACCAAACTTCAGAGCTTAAGTTCTTACCTACTATAGTAGGTAGAAACATGGGAAAGTACTCATAATACTTTGATTTGAAAAAGCAGAATATAAAATATATACTACATATAACCCTATAAAAATATGTATATGTGTGGTCAAGGCCAGGAAGATGATTTACACAAAGGAAAACAGAAATTATAGTGATGTGAGCTGGTTATGAGCGAAACCATTCTTTAATGTTAATATACTTTAAAATTCTTTTTTGAAGTCATGAATTCACAAATTCCTCTTCTGTTATTACTCTGTTTGCAACCGTGAGCACAATGTGTGTGTGTTTCCAGAATTTCTGTGACATAGTTCCCTGCCTTCTCTACCCCTCATCACACTTCCCCCCAGGAGGCTAAGTGCCTACCTTAGTGCTATACTATACTGGTCCATTGCTTCCTGATACTCATTGACAGCTACAAGGAAATCTCCTAGGATCCGATGCAGGACGCAGTCACTCTGGTTAGCTAGTGCGTTCCTCAGCAAAGCAATTCCATCTTCGTATTTCTGCTCTCTGCCTAGGAAAAAAAATTAAAAAGACCCTCATTTTCCTACTTACCCAACATTTTGAAAATACATTCCCACCTCAGGTTGTTGTTTTTTTGTTGTTGTTTTTTGTTAATCCTTCACCCAAGGGTGTATTTTTCCCTTTGATTTTTCAAAAGAGTGGAAAGGAGAGGGAGAGACTGTGTGTGTGTGTGTGTGTGTGTGTGTGTGTGTGTGTGTGTGAGAGAGAGAGAGAGAGAGAGAGAGAGAGAGAGAGAGAGACAGAGAGAGAGACAGACAGAGACAGAGACAGACAGACAGACAGACATATTGATTGGTTGCCTCCTACAAGCACCTCAAACAGGGCTGGGGAACCTGCAACCACGGTAACATGCCCTTGACCGGAATCGAATCCCGGACCTTTCAGTGCACAGACTGACGCTCTACCACTGAGCCAAACTGGCTTCGGCCCCATCTCAAGTCTTATACACAAAATCCACAACACTGATCAGAATTCGACAATCTATTTGTAGATGTCCACAAGAAAAAAGTGGTATGGCAGAAAATAACAAGCTCATCTGAATTCCTATTCCATTAGGAAACCTGCAGTTTGGGTTCTGATTTGTTTTAAAGGTACTACTAAGCTAGATTCAAATAAAAAGTGAGCATGTTATTTTATTTGCCAAACTGGACAAATTCCAGTTCATCATTATTATTATTTTTTTTAATATATTTTATTGATTTTTAACAGAGAGGAAGGGAGAGAGATAGAGAGCTAGAAACGTCGATGAGAGAGAAACATCGGCCAGCTGCCTCTTGCACACCCCTTACCGGGGATGTGCCCGCAACCAAGGTACATGCCCTTGACCGGAATCGAACCTGGGACCCTTCAGTCCACAGACCGACGCTCTACCACTGAACCAAACCGGCTTCGGCTCCAGTTCATCATTAAAGGGAACTAAAAAAAGAAAAATTGCTAGCCCTGACTGGTGTGGCTCAGTAGGTTGGAGTGCCATCCTCTGCACCAAAAGGTGGCCTTTTGCCCTGCCAGTGTGGTCCAGTGGTTGAGCGTGGACCTGAGCCAGGAGGTCACCATTCAATCCCGGTGCATATGCCCAGTTGTGAGCTCAAGCCCCAGTATGAGGTGTGCAGAAGGCAGATGATCAATGATTCTCTCTCATCATTAATGTTACTATATATATATATCTCTCTCTCCCTCTCCCTTCCGATCTGAAATCAATAAAAATATATTGGGGGGGGGGGGGAGAGGTGGCAGCATGATTCCCGGTCAGGACACATACCAGGTTTCAGGTTCAATTCTTAGTAGGCCCAATTAAGAGGCAAATGATCTTTCGGTATCTCTCTCTCTCTCAATAAATCAATAAAAATAAGTCCTCGAGTGAGGATTTAGAAGTAAATAAAATAAGAAATAAACAAGGCTAAAATAGTAATTGTTAAGAGAATCCAGATAGGTCAAAATAGCTCAAGTTGGTGCAAACCAGTTCTATTCAATCCAAACTGGTTCAGGAAACTAAAACTGGATCAAAGTGAGATGAACAAGTAAAAACCAAACATAGCTCCACCAGAGTCAGTCCCTGACAATCCAAGCAGATCTAAGCCAACTACATTTAGTTGTGCTAAACCAGTTCATCTGGGCTCAGATCTACTACAGAAGGAAAACACTTATCTGATCACCTGTCACCAGCTGAACTGGGGACGCCAACTGAAGTAAGTTTTTATACAATGAATGATGGACAGGGAAGTAAATAAAATACACTTACTAAGCAGTTCTGCTTTTTTCACCACAGCCTTAATGTAATCCGGCCTTTGGTTCAGGGCTTTATCTAACAAAGTTTTGGCTTTTTCCTGTGTCACTGGGTCTTCGAGACAAACAGTAGCTAGAAGGGTAAGGGTTTGTGCATTCGCTCCTAGAGTTTTGTAAACGTTGTTAGCCATCACCATTGCTTCACGAATACTGTTTGAGGCTAAGTAACATTCAATGAGACCTGAAAAAAAAAAAAAAAAAAAGCTCAACCACATTACCATTCTAAGCCATGCTTCCACTCTGACAAATTATAAACCTTCAAAGTTTCAGAGCAGGGGCAGGCCAGGAGAAAACGTTGATGGTGAGATTAGACTGGACGGTATGTTGATAGAGTAACTAAAAAGTACTCTTCCCCAGAGCACTCACGGATATGGAAAAAGCTTGCACTCAACGGCACCTTCAGTTAGGAAGGTAATGAACATGCCTAAACTGAAGCATTCATAAAGCCCAGCTGAATGTTAGAGAAACAAGTATGACACTAATCATTGGCTGAGATAGTCACAGATGTCTCTAACAAAACCAGAGATTTCCTTGTCTCTTAACAAACCCTTAATTTCCACTGTGCTGTCACCTTTCATGTCCGAGTTTTAAGCTCCTTATAAAAGTGAATGTCCAGTTCTACAAACTAGAGGCCCTTGGGAGCAGCCAAAGGAGAAGAGAAGACCTTTTCATTTGAAACACAGTCCCCAAAAGCATCTGCTGAGGACTTCCCTGAACTAGATGGGAAGAGCTTCATCAGATGGACCGAATATACCAAGATTAGCAGCTTCTGACTCTTTTCATACCCACAGCAAGTTACTAGTAAATGTCCTATGAGGACACTTTAAATACAGTCAACTTCTCATGCCAAGAACTTAAGGAAAACAGAGGAAGTACTTTTTGGCACAAAGCGCTCATCAAAACAGAACCAACAGCTTGAATCCCAAACCCACACAATGCCTGGCAGATTTTCTCTGCATAACCTCCACCCTAGCAGCATTTATAACATTTGTGCATTCCACCACACACTCTGATACTTAACCAGAAATTGCCTAACTCTTAAGGGCAACATGTTAGAGTCAGAAGACAGAGGTCTGCAACTATTGTACTTGGGAAGTGATATTTCCCTGCAAAAGCCCCATTGGAATGTCAGAAGGCAATGGAAAGAATGACCCTACCAGTAAAAGAAGCTAGGCTGGAGGCTGCAAGCAACAGAGGGTATGACTAGTCACCCTGATCCAATTGCCAAATGGTAGAGCTTGAGTGAAGGCAGCCCCTGAAGCCTCCCTGACCAGCCAGCTGGGGAACAAACCATAAACTACCCCAACAACTCTAACCAGCTGGGTCCAAGCTCTTCAACTGCATTCGTGGGTTCAGGTGCACAGGCTCACAGCCCAAAGGAATTAGCATGATAAAAGCTGCTGGGAGGTAGGAAGTTATAGCTCAGGATTAAGAATTTAATTTGAAACCAAAAGCTTGGTTTGCTGGGGTTTCTTTAAGAACAAATCCAAAAAATAAAAATAAAAAATAACAAATCCACCATAGGTATAGCTCTAACAGTTTTTATTTATTTAACACTTTACTTTTTAATTTTATTGGGGTAGTAATCCACCCAGGAAGATTTGTTTTTTTAACCCCCCCTTTCAAATTTTATTTTTCAAATTTGAACTCATCTTTCTGTTAACAGCAAATGACTCCTATACTCCTGGGTTTATTTTTAAATTCCTATAAAAATATGCTTTGGAGGAACTGCATCTTGTAAGAGTTATTTCAAAGCCCGTGACTGAGTCACCAAATATTGCAGAAGCTAGCACAACTCCTTTGAACTCCTGGGGACAGTTCACATAAACTTAAAATAGTACATAACAAAACAAAGTCTGACCCTGATCATGCCCACTCTGGAGTCACAATGAACCTACCAATTCCCACACCACCACCATCACATGAATATGGACTTACCCTAAGGGTAATATTTCTGGCCCAATGTAAGGCAACTGTGAAACAGAATAAAGTCCTATATAATAACCAAGTGATTCAGCACAGTGCTGGCACAGGGAGATTTACACTAATGAGTTGTCTACCTTTGAGAATCCAAAAAATTAACCTCAACTACTTACACCCTCACCAAAAACAAAGAGAAATGGATTCTGAAAGTATGAAGTAAAAAATCCAGCGAAACCCCTAAAGTAATTTAAAATGCTTAATGCAGTGATTCCCAAACTTGTCTGCACATCCGCATTACCTGGGATCTTCAAAAACAAACAAACAAACAAACAAACAAACTCTGATGCCTATCTTTCACCACCAAATATTCTAATTTACAGGGTCTTAGAGAGTGACCTGGCATCAGGACTTTTAAAAGTTCCCCCAGTGGACTCCAAAGTACAACCAAGCGTGGGAACTGCCAGCCTAACAAAACCTTCCATTTCAGCAGTGCTGCCACACCTACAGAGTCACACTGTCATCTATAATTTTTATCTTACCTTCGTAACAGTCTAAGCGACAAGGTGCAAGCCGTATGGCCTCCCGAAAGTGAATTATTGCTTCTTGGACTCGGCCCATGTTCCTGAGTGCTGCTCCCTTCAGCAGCAAAGCTTGAACACTATTACTGTTCAGCTGAATGGCCTTTGCTCCTAAATAGAGGGCCCGGGAGTAGCGTTTGCTATAGAAGCTATGACACCTGGAGAAAAAAACAACCAAAGTTATCTGAGAGAAGAACACAGGCACTCCATTGCTCTTTGTTGTTCTTAACAGGTGTTGGGGGATTTTCTTGGTAATTTTTTTGTTTTTTTTGTTTTTTTGCAAATTGAAGGCAAGATCTTCCAACCAACAAAAATACTATAAAACTTGCTTTACTGAGTTAGTTGGAGTGGAACCCGCAGTATCTCCAAGATATGCCTATGTAAAGAAGCTTCATAGAAGGCCCTCTACATGATTTTTATTACAAACCAGACTTAATCTATCAGTGGGGGGGGGGGGGGGGACATTTTTAAGGGGGAAATCTTGATATGGAAGGAGAACCTGATGATCTGGATACGTTATCAGATCAGAGACAGAGAACTTACAAGCCAGGTCAATAACATAACAGCAGTTCCTGCGCTGAGCATGATGCATTCACCATCTCAGTTTATACCTACGCCATGAAACAGGGGTATCGTCACTGTTTTCCAAAGGAGAACAGAGATTTAAAGAGGTAAATCACCTGTCTAGTCAAAGACCATAATTGGAATCCAAAGTCTTATCTCTTAAACCTGTGTTTTCAAGCTATATTCTATTTCAGAAGAATTACAAATTCCCAAATAATCTGCTGGGAACTGGGGGGGAAGGGAGCACATAAACATACCCCGAGACCACCCAGGGTTCCGCATGCTGATCAGAAATATTGAAGAGTCGGCAGCCAAGATTCTCCACATCCTCCAGCCGCCCTTCTCGCGCCAGGAGGTAGCCATACACATCCATTCCTAGAAAGGAAGAGGCTCTTTAAACTCTTTATAAAGGGCAGCACCATCCTCAGAGCCCATCCCTGAGCCCTTTCCACCATCATGAGCTCCTTCCGTCAGCATTCCCAGTTCCCAACAAAATTATTTATAAAAAAGAAAAACAAAACAAAACAAAACAAAAAACAGCCCAGCCGGGATGGCTCAGTGGTTGAGTGTCGACCTATGAATCAAGAAGTCATAGTTCAATTTCCAGTCAGGGCACATTCCCAGATTGTAGGCTTGACCACCTGTGTCGGGTGTGGAGGAGGCAACCGATCAATGATTCTCTCTCATCCTTGATGTTTCTATCTATCTACCCCTCTCCTTTCCTCTCAAAAATCAATAAAAATATATTTTTAAAAAGAAAAAACACACATCCAAACTAAAGAAAAAGAAAAGGAGTAGGACCTACCTCACAATTTGAAAGCCTGCTATTTTTAGGAACTGTTTGTCCCTGCATCCTGTCGCGGTAACTACAGCTATCCTAACTCAACCAGAAAGGCCCAAAAAAGGTATCAACTACGTTCTCTCTTCCAAGAGGTCTAGGCAGTCAGGGTTACACACTTAATATGCCAGTTGGTCTTGAAAAAAAATGTTAGCCTATTCCAGAAAAAGCATCTAGTTCTTTCTGAAGTCTAGTTTATGTAAAATCATCCCTACACACGCACACACTTTATTCTCTCATGTTCTATAAAAAGGGCCCTCCATTCTTGTCATTCATCTCTAAACACTATTTCCCTCCATTCCTTATTATCCCTTCAGATTCCCAGGAAAAAGTCTCAAGCCAAGATTACTCCAACATTCCCTACTGGCCCTGACTCTGGTCTGAGTTTCCAATTCCAGGCTTCTGACTACTACCAGATCAGTATTTCTAAACCACCATTTTCATTATGGGCAGGGTAGCTTGGAGAGAGAAATAAGCACTGGGCAAGAGGGAGGCCTTAAGCAAACAAATTCATCTTTTTTCCTCTCACTACTCCATCATTCTTGTGGCTTAAGTGTCTACAAGACTGTTTATTGTAACAAGGTCTTTTGGAGGTCTTTACAAGCAGACCTCAGCCCTTCTATTTGACCTTATTTCCTACTATTCCTGAGCACACAGCCTTACTTACTGACAGTCCCACAACAGTCATCCTTTAGAAGTGCATGTGGCTTACTCCTTCAACTGCAGTCTTCTTTCAAATCAATAAATTTTGTTGATGTGCTCATTCCTAATTACTTCCTTCATTTACCTCCTTTTTAAAAAAATATATTTTATTGATTTTTTTTACAGAGAGAAAGAGAGAGGGGTAGAGAGTTAAGGATATAGAGTTAGAAACATGGATGAGAGAGAATCATCAATCAGCTGCCAATGTACATGACCTGGACCGGAATCGAACCTGGGACCTTTCCACAGGCCAACACTCTATACACTGAGCCAAACCAGTTAGGGTGCTCATCCTTTTCTTAACATCGGTTCATTTATTCCCTTTTAACTATACAGAGTAAAGTAAATCCCCTAAAAGCATATTACGGTTCTGGAAATGCCATCCAAACGCTCAGTCAGGCACATCATAAATCTATAAATCTTGAGAGCCTATGATCATAAGGAGAAGCTATAACTCCTTGCAAATGAAAAAAAACAGCACCTAAATAATGATCTGTGGTGAGATGACACTTGAATGAAGCAAAAACAACTGCTCAAATGGCATTACCCAAGCGTTAGAGACATGTGTCAGGACCAAAAGAATGGTAAACAGCAAATGTAATAAATTTTACAAACTATTTCCATGAAAACTGGTATCAGAGATCATGCTACATTTTTTTTTTAAGACCTCACACATTTATTACTGAACCAACCTACTATCACAGGAAAAAAAAACATCAACAGAGCAAAATCACAAATCCATTAATTTTCCAATTAAAATGTCCCAACTGTCCACACAGTAGCATCTTTTCAATCATTTAAAGGTGTAGGCAACCAGGATACAGCATGAATATGTGAGTCATCTCTCATGAGTGAGTTCTCATAGGCCGAGTTTGGTTCTTCTCCAATGTCTCCTCTTCAAGTTGTACTTGATTTTATTACCAGTTTTCATCAGAATCCCCTGGGGAATGGGCCAGTTCTGCTTTTGTTTATTGGCCAGGAAGCTCTTGATCCTGAAAGTCTTGTGGGAAGACATGGTGAAGGAGAAGCGAACGCATGCACCTCGATGGCGGAGAAAGAGTCACGCTACATTTTTAATCTTTTCTCATCTGTCCCCCTACTGTCACTTCCGCCTTGCCCCAAGAATTACTTACCTTTTATTAGATAAGGATCCAACATCTGTGCTTGTTCAAATTTGAGGACAGAGTTCTTATTGTCTCCAGCTCTGAAGTATAGATCAGCTAAGCTTCCCAGTAGATCCACATTATCTCGTAACAACGACTTTTTCTCTAGTGAACTTTAAGATATTAAACAGTGAACCTTAAAACCTGTTATAAATCCTCTTGGTTGTTAAGTCTGGGTGACAGGCATATAAGTACTATTTTTTTGTGTGTATATATGACATTTTTCATAATAAAAAACTTCAAAAACAAACTGTACACTAGATTTTCTTATTCTGAGCTTATGATTAAATAAAAAGTTATATCTAAGAGTTAAAATATACAATTTAAAAATAATGAAATTGTATTATCTAGACATAAAAATTAAATGAATGACAAATCTAAAAAACAAAAGTTACATAAGATAGCAAATATACAGAATAAAGCAGAAATCTCTTGTTACCCAGAGATAACTTTCTGATTGCAGTTTTTCAGTGGATAAAATATGCTATATGATGTTAAATGTAATGTTATTCACAAATGACAGCTACTTGATACTCAACCAAATGATAATATAACACAAATCCCAGTCTCTTGTCCTTGGACTTTACCTGACTAGAAAGAAAATCCCCAGTCTTAGGAACCCAACCCAGATCAGATGCTGCAATAACTATGCTTCTGGGCATGCAAAAAGATGTCTTCCAGGTTCAATCAAGAATGATACACAAAGGCAGTTTGCTTTGCAATGGTTACTACTTTTGCAAGTACAGAGTTAAACTCCGTCCAAATTTACAATTAACAGGTGCTCAGCAGAGATTATTACATTTGGGACCATATGGTACATTAAGAGACTAACAAAGCCCAGGGACAACTGGCTGCAACACCAAGAGATAAGGACCTAATTTTCCTGTTTTGCTACTTTAGATATATTAGACCTCCTTATAAGGAAAGGGCTTCAAGAACACTTAATTAATTTTGCGGCTCTCACCAGATGGTATTGATTGCTCTTGAGTTGTCACCAGTATGCACAAAAGCATATGCTTTGATCCACACAGAGAGCCAGTCCAAGTTAGGCACGGTCTGGATGACATTCATTGTCATTGATGCCACCTCTGCACCTTTTACAGATAGGGACAGCAAACCTAACCCAATAGAAAGCAGAAAAAAGAATGAGAGGCATAGCATCTCTCTTCTACAATGTAATAACCAACAGGTTATCCTTTCCGTGGGTTAAAGGCAACCTTTGTCCTATTCTAATCAAGATGCATATGACAGAACAAACATAATTTAGTATTTCTTGATCAGTGAAATACATGGCAACAGTAATCTATTAAATCACCATCTACAGATGAAACTTTTGGAAAAATAAAACTATTCTAGTATACTGCCAAGATCGAGAACTGCTACACTAGAGAGTAAACACTCCACAAATATAGGCAGAAATGATCCGTACCTAGAATGGCATCGAGGGCTAATGGGCACTGTCTCAGCACTTCCTTATAGCTGGTGACTGAAGGGCGCTCCTGACCAGCCTTCTTATACAAGTTTGCCAGCATCATGTTTATCTGTAATAAATAAAAGCAGAAGACAATAAGATTACGTGTATATTGCGAAGAAAATATTTCACCATCAATTTAAGTCCTGATTTTTATTACTAGCTACTACTTTACTTTTTACTAGAAAATCTACCCAAAGCCCCATGGAAATAAACAAATACCAACTCCATTCATCAAAACAAACAGAAATTACTACCTTTGCTTTTCCTATATCCTCTCATTTCTAAAAGAAAAATCAAATTCCTTTCACTTACCCAACCAAAAGGTCCAATAGTATTTGGACCAAAGATGCTGCCTCTGGAAATGGGAGTAACATTCATTTGAGAAATGTTACAAAATTCTAATTACCTTGATTCTTTCTTGGTCTTAAGACAGAAGATGAACTATTCTAGAAATGCTCAAGTTTACATATTTTAGATGAAATTAACATCAAGCCATAGAAAGTGAGGGATTCTTTTTTATTTTTAATATATTTTATTGATTTTTTTTACAGAGAAGAAGGGAGAGGGATAGAGAGCTAGAAACGTCGATGAGAGAGAAACATCGACCAGCTGCCTCTTGCACACCCCCACCGGGGATGTGCCCGCAACCAATGTACATGCCCTTGACTGGAATCGAACCAGGGACCTTTCAGTCCGCAGACCGACGCTCTACCACTGAGCCAAACCGGTTTCGGCAAAAGTGAGGAATTCTTAACATAGCTACTTAAGATGAATTTTCCCTAAAAAGGAAATGACAGACCCAAAAGCACAATACTACTTGGCTTCTCTCTGACAATTAGTCTAGCAGATAGACTCTCTCCTTTCTCATACTTAAAGCTTTGACCAATAGGTACTGTACTGCCTGATTCATCAAAGTTATGCTACAAAAATCAAACTCTAACTGACCTTTAAAGGTAACAATGATCCAGAGATTATACTATTTAAATAACACAATTCAAATATGTAACTCCACAAAACTTTATTTAAATAACCCTTTCAGAAATGCAACGGGGAAATTTTGAGAAAACCTGAACGTTCCAAAGAAGGTACAGGGAAAGTATAATCTTAAAAGCCCAAAGAGAAAAACACAGTATTCCAATTTAAAATTAATAGAGCATAACACAACACAGAGTTTGCCAGATCATAACCTAAAGAAGCAGTCAACATGAAGGCAAAGAGAAAAAAAAGCCAATCCAAAACTCTTCAATCATCTGTAGCTTCGTACTCCAAATGTTTACTCCAAAGAGTGGCTCTGAAGATGAAAAACATGTTCCAATTATGTCCTTACAGTATATAAAACAATCTACTATGGCATAAATCCATACTGATTCAAACAATGAAATAATACTAGAAATAAAACTATTTTTTATTTGGCCTCAGATTTTTCCATTTTAGGCTATATTGAAATGCAAAAGAAGGTACTTAAAGGAAAACTCCAGTATTAGGGTCAAACTTAAAAAGAGGTTTAAATTTAAAAACCTTTCTTGACTGCTTGTTATTAACAAATCATGACTGATGGGCAAACAGATATTAAAATTCCCTTTAAACTACCTGGAACTTCAAAAGAATGAGTTTTGACTACTACCTAGTGAGAAAGTCAACATTTTTAAAGCAGATACTTACTTGGTAACATCACAAAGCCACATTCTACCAGTTATAAACATAAGCAGTAATCATTTTCTAAAAACTGAGTGAGAAATTGTGTTATATTTTTGCTCTTAAAAGTTAAAGATTTACCAAGATATAATAATCTCACACTGGAATTTTCCTTTAAAATGTGAAGAAGTGTGTGGCGGTGTTTACCATACATTAACAGACGTTCATTTTTGCATATAAGCATAACCAATGGATGAAAAACTCTGGGGAGGGAGGGCATGTATAGGAGTGGAAGGGGTGGGGATTGGTAAGGTATGTACACATATAATACCTTAATAAAAATAAAATGGACTCTCTCGGGTCCTCGTTTCCAAGATGACCAAGAAAAGAAGGAATAACGGTCGTGCCAAAAAAGGCCGAGGCCATGTGCAGCCTATTCGTTGCACCAACTGCGCCCGGTGCGTGCCCAAGGACAAGGCCATTAAGAAGTTTGTCATTCGAAACATAGTGGAGGCCGCGGCCGTCAGGGACATCTCCGAAGCCAGTGTCTTCGACGCCTATGTGCTTCCCAAGCTGTATGTGAAGCTGCACTACTGTGTGAGCTGCGCCATTCACAGCAAGGTAGTCCGGAATCGGTCTCGTGAAGCCCGGAAGGACCGAACACCCCCGCCCCGATTCAGGCCTGCGGGTGCTGCCCCACGACCTCCACCAAAGCCCATGTAAGGAGCTAAGTCTTTAAAGAGCGAAGAAAAGTTCTCTGGGGAAAATAAATGGAAGCTGTATTTCAAAAAAAAAGAAAAAGAAAAGAAAAATAAAATGGAAAAAAAAAAAGACCAATGAAACAAACAAAAAAAAACAGACGTTCATTTAGTCGTATTTTGACTCACTTCCTTGTCCTGTACACAGACTGAGAAGCCAGTTAACTCCCTAACAGACAAGAAAGAAAAACTATAAATATTATAGGTTTATGTTTGAGGCACACATCTTTGTTTCCCCCTGGCTCTAACAGCTCTACTGAATGAAGAATATGTACTCCTAATTAATGCAGATTCCTCTAGTCCCTCTTAAAATGCTGGATACCACAAAACTGAGCTTGTCATTACTCACTGTCCTCAAACTCCTTGAAGTCATTAAAGAGGAAATAATGGTGCCCTTCCAATAAGATAATGAACAGGTATAATTCAAAGTTTATCATCAAAACAGGATCTTCCAAAAGGAAGATATTCTTCATATATGAAAAAATTATTCTTCAGTAAGTCTTTCATAGGGTACCAGAACACAAGTTAATATATAACCACTCAAGCTTATTTTAAGACAGGGTAGTGTGTAATATGCTTCCAAATGTTTTTAATAGTAGCCACCACCATAAAATATACTAGGGAAATAGTATATAAACCTCAGAAAATCTTAAATACATTTCATTATAAAGAGATACTTAAACACATTCTCATAAAGTTTGATTGGTTACTTTTAAAACTCAGCATCATTTAGGTGAAAAAACACTAAATACACTAGGTCCTTACTGATTAGATTCCTCTTTTAAGCACAGGCATCTTACAGATAAAATTCTTCACTGTTAAGCATGTTATACAGAATAGTTTTTCTTTTTTTTCTTTTTTTTAATTTTTATTTTCCACAGAGAGGAAGGAGTGGGACAGAGAGTTAGAAACATCGATGAGAGAGAAACATCGACTAGCTGTCTCTTGCACACCCCCCACTGGGGATGTGCCCGCAACCAATGTACATGCCCTTGACTAGAATCAAACCTGGGACCCTTGAGTCCGCAGACTGATGCTCTCTCTACCACTGAGCCAAACCGGTTTTGGCTAGAACAGTTTTTCAATGAAGTGAGGGAGACAGTTGACATGAAAGAATATGGTAGAATATTAAATACTGACATGAATTCAATCTAAGAGCAAGGATTTGCATTATTTTTCTAAACTAAGCTTAAAAAAACACACCCAAAAACCCATAATCAAAGATGACCAATATATATAATACTCCTTACAGACTAGTACTTTAAAGAGTATCCTCACATATATAAACTTAGTTTTTCCAAAAGTTAGCAGAAAAGTATTATTATCCTCATTTTATAAATAAGAGGGAAAATAAAGTTCCGATTGGAATTTGCCCAAGTACACACTACAGCTTGTATGCCCAAAACTCAGATAAGATACCAGATCTTCTCATTTCAGTTGCAAATATTCTATTCACTATGTTGTCAAATCAAACACAAGTACGTATCCCCCACACAAATAAGTACAAAAGGCTCTTGTAAACTTGATTTTGAAAATGAAGGGATTAATAAAACCATTCACATTACCAAAAAAAAAAATGAGGTTCTAAAACAGTATAGTTGCCACCTGGAAGTGCACTGCAATTCATTTTTTTCTACAGTAAGAAAAACAAAGAATCAGCACTTGTATTCTCCAGCTACCATTTTCATCAGCTGAACTTTCAGGGTCTCATAAGAAAGGCACTCTTCTACCTCTCTGAGCTCAACCCTTTAACAAGGAACAAAGTAAAAACCAGAAGCAAGAGTAAAATGTTCAAATGGACTCCCTAATGTATACAGAAAACTGAAAGAAGAGTGGTGGAAGGAATAGGGAGTTGAAAATGTAACAAATTGTTAATTCAACTTACTTTGGGAGTTCTTTGTCTTGAAGGGATCCCATCAAGGATAGCAATGGCATCTTTATCTTGTTTTAGCATTGTGTAACATTCAGCCATTTTGTATTTCACTTCAATTTCAGATGGAAGACACTAAGAGGGAATGAAAACATCTCTTCAAAATATTAAACAGTATGGCACTTCTTCATAATGTTAAACATAGGGTTACCATAATATCCAGCGCCCAGCAATTCTGTTCCTATATATACAGCCAAGAGAACTGCAAACATATATTCAAATAAAAGCCTACACAGAAGTGTTCAAAACATCCATCCATCTACCGTGTTTCCCCGAAAATAAGACATCCTCCGAAAATAAGACCTAGTGCATGGAAAGATAAGACATCCCCTGAAAATAAGACCTAGCGCAACTTTGGGAGAAAAAATTAATATAAGACACTCTTTATTTTCGGGGAAACAGGGTATCTATCTATCTAAAAGCCTACGTAATCGTTATGATCGGATTTTTCTTAAGCAATTATAAAAAACTGGCAGGAAATTTTTTAATTAATTAATTATTATTATTATTTTATTTTTTTATTTTTTACAGAGAGGAAGAGAGAGGGATAAAAAGTTAGAAACATCGATGAGAGAGAATCATCGATCTGCTGCCTCTTGCATACCCCCTACTGCGGATGTGCCCACAACCAATGTACATGCCCTTGACCAGAATCGAACCTGGGACCTTTCAGTCCAAAGGCCAAGGCTCTATTCACTGAGCCAAACTGGTTTCGGCAATTGGCAGGAATTTTCAGATTTCCTATATATTTCCCCAGCTATTCACAGTCGTAAAATGTTATATTTTAAAGTTGTATTTTCATTAACAATATAAAAACACTAGATTTTAAGTTCTGTTTGTATGAAAGGGAAGAACAATGCATGACGTTGGTTAGAACCCAGATCATTCATAGTTAATTCCATTTTTAGATTCATCCAGAATGAATTTTGCTATTAGCCCTTAATTGGATGCATTCTTTCAAGTGGTTTTTCATCTTTGTCCAGTCCCTTTAAAATTACATTTTATTTTACTATCTTCCACATCTAAACATCAGTCTTACAAATTTTTTCAGTCTCTCTCGCTCTCAGCCCTCTTCCCCACCAAAATCACACTTTGTATCTCCCATTACCTGACTCTGTGGAGTGGATGTAGAATTGCCAGTTGAAGGTCGCACTTTTGAAGTTTTACTTAAGGCTTTCTTCTGCTGTAAAGCCATGGTATACTTGCTTACAGCATTACGATATTCCTTATCATGAAAGAGCGAATCTGCATGATACACCAAAAGCTGGTACTTCTGAGATGGGGAGAATAACTCACTAGAAAACAAAGAAAGTAAACGCTCTACATGGGTTGTTTTTGAAAGGTTAGAAAGTACATACCCACCCTTAGTGTCCCTTCTTAGTGTTCAAGCCTGGCACAGTTTAAAAAAAAAAAAAAAAAAGTGCCTTAAGTGCTAATTCCTAAAATTAAAGGAATGGGGCATACTCTGCTAATATGGTCAACACATCTAGAAGATTGCCTTAAATATGTTTCCTTTATTTACTGTAAAAGCAATGATACCTCTAAATCTCTTTGTATAACTACAAAGGTGTACAAAGAAGAATGTATATATTTTTCTCCTCTTCTTTAACCCAAGATTTATTAATTTAATGGTTTGACAGATATCCATACCCTCTTATATTAACATCAATTTTTAGGATAAGACAGAAAACAATCACAATGATTTAACTAGTATTACCAAAAAAGAATTGAAAACTTGGAAAAGAGAAAGTTCACCAGTTGAATCCTTTTTAGGAAAGTACTGAAAAGAGGTTTGTAGGGAACTGAAAACTCTTCAAATCCTGAATAAAACAGAAATACTGAAATATGGAAATAGAAGAGGATAAGCCAGTGGAATAGAGTGGAATAGAAAGAGGATTAGTCTTATTTGATAAAGGTTTTTTATTTTATACACAAGAGTAAACTTTATAAGCACTTGAATTTTTATCTTGAGTCTCAGGGGTTTAAGTACAGTGTAATGAAACCAATGTCCCAAAACTTTCACCTTGAATACTGTTCACAAGTGTTGTAAGTGCCTAGAAGCTGACTGACAAAGGATCTTCAATAGGAACCATAGCTCCAACCTGGTGGCCGTTGGCTGGAGCGTCCTCCTGCACCAAAAGGCTGCAGTTCTCGGTCAAGGCACATACCTACATTGCATGTTCAATCCCTGTTCAGGGTGCATACAGGATTTTTTTCCTCCAAAAAATCTATAAAAACATATCCTCAAATGAGGATTTAAAAAAAAAGTGGCATAGATTTGTGGCTGTCAGGTACATGAGGAAATGGGATTGGAGAGTGACTACTACTTGATAAGTTCCTTTTCTGGGTAATGAAGTTTTGGAATAGACAACAGTGATGCTTCCACAACTCTGTGAATATATTTAAAACCACAGAAATGAATTTTTTTCTTTTAACAATTCTTTTTAAATATGTTTTTATTTATTTCAGAGAGGAAGGGAGGAGACAGAGATAGAAACATCAATGATGAGAATCACTGACTGGCTGCCTCCTGCATGCCCCACACAGGGGACAGAGCTCGCAACATGGACATGTGCCTTGACTGGGAATTGAACTGTGACCTTCTAGCTCATAGGTCGACGTTCAATCACTGAGCCATGCCAGTCAGGCCGGAAATGTATTCTTTAACAGGGAGAATTCCATGGTATGTGAATTTTATCTTAATAAAAAAAACCTCTTTTTAAAAGGATGGAAAGTTTAAACACAGGATATAACGTTACAAAGGAAATTCACAAATTGAAAGCTATAGTCCAGATAGTTCAAATCTCTTCCAACTCTGAGATTCTATGTATTTAATGATAAATAAGATTAGATAGAAAATGTTATTATACTCAGGAAGCATTCATATATTTAAATATTATAACAAACATGCCTACTTGCATTATCTCTGGAATGATATGAGAAACTTAATTGTTGTTTGCCTCTGGAGAAGGGAAATGGTGGGATGAGGTTCAAGACTAAGGGACAGCCCTAACTGGTTTGGTTCAATGGATAGAGCATCGACCAGTGGACTCAAGGTCAAGGGCATGTACCTTGGTTGCAGGCACATCCAAGTGTAGGGGTGTAGGGGATGTGCAGGAGGCAGCTGTCGATGTTTCTCTTTCATCCATTTTTCTAACACTCTCCCCCTATCCCTTCTTCTCTGTAAAAAAACAATAAAATATATATATTTTTTAAAAGACTCAGACAGATACTTATCTGCAGACCCTTTCTGCTTTGTTCGATTTTTTTTTTACTGTATTTTATTGCCAAGTCAGTAAGAAATTTGAAAATATAAATGATATAGATCAGAATCTAAGTGCCTCCTGAAACTAGGAAACTACCAGTGTAACCTAATATGAAGAAGTCTAGTCAGAGGATCAGACTGCTTCTATCTTGTAACATCTTCAAGAACCAAGGACAAAGACTAACTCTTGCACAAATTCCCAATGGTGGAAACTGTTTCTTGACAAATCACTCAGAACCAGGCGAAAGGCTCCAGAACAAACACAGAAGGCTGACAGAGACCAGAGCTCCTCCCTGTCAACAGAAGTGGCAAAACGATGGGCTGCACATAGTGAGGCCCAAAAGCACACTGACGGGAATGAAATAGGGAGAGCAGCTGCATTGCAGGCATTCAAGGGGTCTTTCTTTTCTGCCCTGTGCAGCTTCAAGAGCAGGCCAAATGCTAATGGGTCCACCCAGAGTAGAAAATGTAATTATGCCATTTAGAGACAGCAGGCTGTCCTAGTCAGAATGGAAGCCTTCGCATCAAAAGGACCAAAACCCAGACCTATGGCTCCTCCACTTACTGATGTGTGAACTCAACAGGGTATGTCACCTTCTTCGGGTTGTATGCACTTTTTTTTTTTTTTTTTAATTGATTTTTTTTAGAGAGGACAGGAGAGGAATAGAGAGCTAGAAACATCTATGAGAAACATCGACCAGCTGTCTCTTGAATACCCCTTACCGGGGATGTGCCCGCAACCAATGTACATGCCCTTGACTGGAATCAAACCTGGGTCCTTCCAGTCCGCAGACCGACGCTCTATCCACTGAGCCAACCGGTTTCGGCTGTATGCACTTCTTTAATCACGTGCAGTCAATGAGTGCTTACTGTACACAGGCACTGGGCTGGCTTCAGTAGGAGCTAAGAGATGCCTTCTTTAACAGGGTGATGCGGAATACAGATCGTCACAGTTCTCACCAGAGAAAAAACCACCAACCTGTAACTACCGTGTTTCCCCAAAAATAAAACATCCTCCGAAAATAAGACCTACTTATCCTCCAAAAATAAGACCTACTTACAGGTTTCCTTCTGAGTGAAATATAAGGCATCCCCCTGAAAATAAGGCCCCCTAGGCTAAACATGAGAGATTTGGTCCACTGATACTGAAAGAAATGGAGTCACAAGAAATTCAGGAATTGGATTGTTATGATGATGTTCCAGATGATGACGACGATTGTCATTGAATAAATGAGTAAATTCTTGCCAGGACCAGTTTGGCTCAGTGGATAGAGCATCGGCCTGCGGACTAAAAGGTCCCGGGCTCGATTCCGGTCAAGGGCATGTACCAGTAGGGGGTGTGCAGGAGGCGGCTGATGGATGATTCTCTCTCATTGATGTTTCTAACTCTCTATCCCTCTCTGTGAAAAAACAAGAAAATATATTTAAAAAAAAAAAAGAGTAAATTCTTGATACTGTAGGATTCAGTTTGTTTGGTTTGTGTTGACAACTGCTGTACTACCGTACCCTATACAGGTAATAAATTTCCTTTATTTTTATTTAACAATAAATGTGTACCGTATTCTTCTTCATGGAAAAATAAGACATCCCCTGAAAATAAGACATAGTGCATGGAAAGATAAGACATCCCCTGAAAATAAGACCTAGCGCATCTTTGGGAGCAAAAATTAATATAAGACAGTCTTATTTTCGGGGAAATAGGGTACATGTAGGGATGGATGTTAACTAGACTTGTGGTGATCCTATCACAACATACACAGAATTATCACACTGTGCACCTGCAATAATATGTCACCTGTCCATGACACCTCCGTTATTTAAAGTAAAAAGTGATGCAGACTATACACCAGGGCGAAGGGAGAGAACAATTCTGAGGATCTGAGAACAATTCTTTAGAAGGGGCTCTCTGGGTGGAAAGCTGTGTGAGGAGGAAGGCCTGAGGTAAGAACTCGGAACAGGAAATAAATGCAAAAGACCTGAGCGGAGAACCAGCTGGGCGTGTTCACCATCAGAAAGGAAAGAGGGGAGGGTGGCTGGAGGTTACTTTGGGGAGGCAGGTGTGTGGCCTCGCCGGCCACGGGAAGGGACTTAATGTGAGCACCATGGAGACATGGAAGCACTCCAGGCTGGACAGGGCCCTGCACCGCTCCCGTCCTAAGACTCAAAAAAAGGCAGCTCTGCCGAAACCGGTGTGGCTCAATGGATAGAGCATTGGCCTGCAGACTGAAGGGTGCCGGGTTCGATTCCGGTCAGGGGCATGTACATTGGTTGTGGGCAAACCCCCGATTCCCCAATGCAGGAGGCAGCTGGTCGATGTTTCTCTCTCATCGATGTTTCTAGCTCTCTATCCCTCTCCCTTCCTCTCTGTAAAAAGTCAATAAAATATATTTTTTAAAAAGGCAGCTCTGACAGCAGGAAAGGGGCGTTTGCGAGTCGTTACCGAGGTGCCACTCCCCACCTCCCAGGGGGTCTCCATTTCCAGAGGCTTCCCGGGGCGGGAAAGGGAGCCTGCTGACACCCTCCAGGGGGAAAGCCCGTCCCCATGTGGGACGAACCCAGGGGGCGGGTCTCTGGGCTTCCACGAAGGAGAGACGCTCTTCAGGGAGGAGCTGGGGAGAGAAGAGCCAGCCCAGCGGCGTGACAGTCGCTCTGCCCGGGACCAGGAACCTCAGGAAACCCTCCTTTGCTCTCAACTTTCGGGGAGCCCTCGCCAGGGTGGTCCTCAGAGCCGCCGCCGCCGCCGCCCCTCGGCGCCCGCCCCGCGGGGAGTCAGGGAACGCGGCCGGCGCTCCTGAGGTGGCGCCGCCCGAGGAGGCCTCGCCGGCACCGGCGCCTCAGCGGAGGCGGAGGCCGCGGCCGCTCCTCCCCGCGGCCCCCGGGCTCCTCAGCCCCCCGCTCCCAAACAGGCGCCACTAGCTCCGGAGCCCCGGGCCGCTCCCCGCCTCCACTCACGGGTTGTTAGTGCTCATGGTGAGCAACAGGCTGCTGAGGAGCCGCACGTTGGAGTGCAGCCCCGCGGCCGCCATGTCCCGCACGTGGTCTATCACATTCATCCTGCCCGGTGGCGAGGCCGCGGGGAGCCAGGGCGTTGGCGCGAAAAGCCGGTCGGAGAGCCTGAGAGGAGACTCGAAGATGGCGGCCGCGCGTGGGTCCTTCGGGTCCACCAGTGGCTCCGCCCCCGGGAACATAGGCGGCTACGCAAGTTGCCTGAATAAATACCTCAGTCTCTTCCCCACCCCCTTTTCAGGTGGAATGATTTGGTTTTTCATTTGTTTTGTTAACGGGAAAAAACATGGAAACCTGCCGAAACCGGTTTGGCTCAGTGGAGCGTCAGCCTGCGAACTGAAAGGTCCCGGGTTCGATTCCGGTCAAGGGCATGTACCTTGGTTGCGGGCACATCCCCGGTAGGGGGTGTGCAGGAGGCAGCTGGTCAATGATTCTCTCATTGAGGTTTCTGGCTATCTATCTCCCTTCCTCTCTGTAAAAAATTAATGTAATATAATATTTTTAGAATATATATATATTTTTAGTCAGGCGCCAGGGACAGTCCTAACTGGCTGAGGGCACCACGCCCCCTCTGCTGAGGCGTGTGTGGCCGCGGGAGGCGGGGGTCGGGCTTCCCTTGGGTGTGAAAGGGCTTCTGTTTACCCTGTGAAATGCATCACTAGCTCAGGATGAAGGCTGGGTTGAGCTTTAGCCACCTTATAATTGGCAGTTCCCTAGTCCACCTGTCACTCAAAGGACAGATCTTCCTTCTTTGGTGAGGTTTCTGCTGAGAGCTTTTTCTGATCTTCCCATGGGGTTATGGTCTTACCTATTGTGTTTTAAGGGTTCTTTGTATGTTTTGGGTAACAGTGTTTGTTTTATCAGCTCCGTGTTTTGCACATATTTTCTACCATTCTGTGACTTGTCATTCTCTTGGCCACCCCTCTCTTTTACAAAAAACAAAACAAAACAAAACAAAAACACAACAACAATTAAAAAAAACCTACTTTCAGTAATAATCCTAAATGACTAATAATGGCCTGGGGAAAACTAGACAATGAAAATATTATTTTATTAAACTTCATCTAAATAATGATGCCAGTACAACTTTAATGAAAAATAAAACATATTACAGTACAAAAAGATAATGGATTTAATATTTTTCATTATATTAATGTATTTAAGAAAGACTTTTATCCTACATATTGGATTAGCAAGAAAATAAATAATATAGTTTTCGGCTTTGGTCCTTAAATTCTGCAAGTTTGCCAGTTACTATCAAAACTGATTGTCTGCATATTAATGTTCAATTAGCACTACAGACAGATTTGTCTTTGGAGCACAGTCTTGGTGTTCCATGAAAAGGTGGAACTTACATGCACTGAAAGAAGCCAAAGTAAAAAGCTACATACTGTATGATTCTAACTATATTAGTGGCCTGGAGCACAAAATTCATGCATGGGGCAGGGAGAGGCCTGTCCTTCAGCCCAGCTTAAACCCTCTCCAATCTGGGACCCCTGGGGGGATGTCCCTGATCTGGCCTAAACTGGCAGTCGGACATCCCTCTCGCAATCTGGGACCACTGGTTCCTAACCACTCTACCTGCCAGCCTGGTTGTCCCCAAATGCCCCACCACCACCAGCCTGCTCGCCCACAACTGCCTCCTCCTCCCCCCTCAACTGACCCCCTATCAGCCTGCTTGCCCCCAGCTGCTCTTCCCAGCCAGCCTGATCACCCCCAACTGCCCTCCCCTGCTGGCTTAATCGCCCCTAACCACATCTGCCTCAAGCGTACCACCATGGCTTTGGCTGGAAGGATGTCCGGAAGGTCTCCCAGACTAATTAGCATATTACCCTTTTATTAGTATAGATGACATCCTGGAAAAGATGAAACAGTAAAAGATCAGTGGTTGACAGGAGTTAGGGAGGAGGGAGGAATTTATGGAACACAGGTGATTTTTATGGCAGTGAAATTATATGATACTATAATGGTGGACACGTCTTTTGTTTGTCAAAACTCAGAATGGCCTTAACTGGTTTGGCTAAGTGGATGAAGCATTGGCCTGGGAACTGAAGGGTCCCAGGTTCAACTCCGGTCGAGGGCATGTGCCTTGGTTGCGGGCATGTCCCCAGTGGGAGGTGTGTGGGAGGCAGCTGATCAATGTTTCTCTCCATCAATGTTTCTAGCTCTATCCTTTTCCTTTCCTCTATGTAAAAAACAATATCTTAAAAAATAAGAAAAAAACAAAAAAACCTCATAGAATGTACAACATAAATTGTGGACTTTGGCAGGTTTATAGAGAAAAAAAATAAAGAGACAAAGGACAATTTACCTTTCTGGATTTTTTTTTTTTTTTTTTTTTTTTTTTTTTACAATCCTCTTTAAAATCAATTGCCCCCAACAATCCTCTTTAAAATCAATTGCCGCTGAAACCGGTTTGGCTCAGTGGTAGAGCGTCGGTCTGCGGACTAAAAGGTCCCAGGTTCGATTCCGATCAAGGGCATGTACATTGGTTGCGGGCACATTCCCAGTGGGGGGTGTGCAAGAGGCAGCTGGTCAATGTTTCTCTCTCATCGATGTTTCTAGCACTCTCTCTCTCTCCCTTCCTCTCTGTAAAAAATCAATAAAATATATATATTTTTTAAAAATCAATTGCTTCCAAGTAGAATGGATTCCAAGGTTAAATTCCATTAATCTAATATAAGTCAGATCATACTGATTTGAATGTTATTCAAAGAACATATAGCAGGGGAGCTAAGTAGGGGGTGAGGGGGGAGGAACACCTGTAATAATCTGAACAATAAAGATTTTTTTTTAAAAAAAAAAAGACATATAGCGATACATGTATAGCAACTCAGGACACACAGGTATAGCCAGCAGACAAAGCTCCCTTTTTCTCATGAAATCATCTTATAAAAGGATGGCTTTGGAACTGGAGCAGATGTTAGACATTATCTCATGTTCATTCTTCCTTTCATGGGCGAAGAAATGAGGCTCATAATTGACAAGGAGATAGCTGACTGTGAACCTTGAGGTTAGCCACTTTACCAGATGCAGAATGATGTGGATACCGGCTACTATGAGGTGTTGAATCAGATACATTAAAGGAACAATTTATTGCCCTAACTGGTTTGGCCCAGTGGATAGAGCGTCGGCCTGTGCACTGAAGGGTTCCAGATTCGATTCCGGTCAAGGGCATGTACCTTAGTTGTGGACACATCCCCAGTAGGGGTGTGCAGGAGGCAGCTGATCAATGTTTCTAACTCTCTATCCCTTCCTCTCTGTAAAAAATCAGTAAAGTATATATTTTAAGAAAAGGAACAGTTTATTAACGTAAATGCTCTGCTCCACTTAAGTTCATTTCGGAACGCCCAGCAGCCTCCCACGAATGAAAATCTTTCCCAGCTACATTAGACATTTTTCTTAGATCTGTCTTTTGTACCAGGGGGAAAAACACAACACTTGTAAATTACTCTAAGGGAAACATTACTTAACATCTCTTAAGTGTCTCCTGGCAGTGATAGAGCCTTCCTTTCATTGGAAAGGAACTTAGGACAAAGGATTTGCCAGAACAACTGGAGAAAATACATACGGCCATCTTTCCAAATGGTTTTCCCTCCCTGCAGTAAAATGTATTCTGGCGTTCTAAGATGTCCAGCCTGACATTTTTTTATGAGATGGTCAATCAACTAAGGCTATGGCAACTAACTCATGCAAGCACAAAAGCAAAACCAAGAGGGCTTGCTCCAGTCAGAGTTCAGCTGCCATAAAATAAAGTTTTCTGGAGACTTTAAACAGGTTACTTTTATTTCTTTTTTCTTTTTTTCTTTTTTAAAATATTTTATTGATTTTTTATAGAGAGGAAGGGAGAGGGGTAGAGAGCTAGAAATGTTTATGAGAGAGAAACATCGACCAGCTGCCTCCTGCACACCCCCTACCGGGGATGTGCCTGCAACCAATGTACATGCCCTTGACCTGAATCGAACCCGGGACCTTTCAGTCCGCAGGCCAACGCTCTACCACTGAGCCAAACCGGCTTCAGCCACTGAGCCAAACCGGCTTTGGTGTTTTTTGGAGACTTTAATACTAGGAACAACCCCAAGAAATTCCTTTTTCTGAGTCCCAGCTTTTACTGATCCTCGTTTTATTCTGATTAACCTCTTAGATTGATTCTTTGCTGATTCTTACTCCCAGAATATCTCCCTCCCATTACTCTACCCTCCAAAACATTTGATGAATTGTAACTAATGCTACCTTATAAAAATCCTCATTTTATCTTCTTGCCACTCTGCTTGAAAATTTAAATGTAACCCTGACCGGTTTGGCTCAGTGGATAGAGCTTTGGTCTGTGAACTGAAGGGTCCCTGGTTTGATTCCGGTCAAGGGCATGTACCTTGGTTGCGGGCACATCCCCAGTAGGGGGGGTGTGCAGGAGCCAGCTGATTGATGTTTCTCTCTCATCGATGTTTCTAACTCTCTATCCCTCTCCCTTCCTCTCTGTAAAAAATCAATAAAAAAAAAATATTTTTTTTTTAAAGAAAATTTAAATGTAGCCCAGCCAGCATGGCTCAGTGATTGAGCATCGACTTATGAACCAGGAGGTCATGGTTCAATTCCCAGTCAGGGCACATACTAGGGGTGCAGGCTCCATCCCCAGTGTGCAGTGTGCAGGAGGCAGCTGATCAATTATCTTCTCATTGATGTTTCTATCTTCCTCTCTTCCATTGTGAAATCAATGAAAATATTTATTTTTATTTTTTAAAATATATTTTACTGATTTTTTAAAAATATATTTTATTGATTTTGTACAGAGAGGAAGGGAGAGAGATACAGAGTTAGAAACATCAATGAGAGAGAGTCTTCGATCAGCTGCCTCTAGCACACCCCCTACTGGGGATATGTCCGCAACCAAGGTACATGCCCTTGACTGGAATTGAACCCGGGACCTTTCAGTCCCCAGGCCGACGCTCTATCCATTGAGCCAAACCGGTTTCGGCTATTTTACTGATTTTTTACAGAGAGGAGGAAGAGAGAGGGATTGAGAGTTAGAAACATCGATGAGAGAGAAATATCGATCAGCTGCCTCCTGCACCCCCCCCACTGGGAATGCGCCCGAAACCAAGGTACATGCCCCAGACCGGAATCGAACCTGGGACCCTTCAGCCTGCAGGCCGACGCTCTATCCACTGAGCCAAACCGATTTCGGCAAATCTCCTGATCTTGTTGCCTGAATGTGTTACTAAAAATATCAACATACGTAGCAAAGTGACCATCTTATAATGGGTGGGAAGGCCAGTCCCTGGATTCATAAAGACGTGGCTTTTAATTGCCATTCCTGCCAGCTTCCAGGTGTGCAATCTTACATTAATTACATTATAGCAAATTATATCACACACGAGCTTTCTTCGCCTAGAAAAGGGGAAAAGTAATTAGATCTGCCACAACGGTGCTAGCAAGGGTTAAATAGAATTAAAACGGCAAAGTGTTTGGGACAACCTATAAATCAGAGCTGCAGTGTTCAAGCAAAGTGGAAAATCATGATCGATGTTTTATCTCAAAATCAACACAGAACAGATGCGGCCCTAACACTACACCCTCCTAATGGAATGGTCTTCCAGACTTCTATAAACAAAACCAAGAGGAAACAAACCAAACGGCTTCTCGTGTAATGGTAGTCCTTCCTTTTCTGGACACGGCTCCAAACCTTTTGTGAACGTCTTCGGTACTGGTAATTGTAGACAAAAGGAAAATGTGGAATAAAACAGTTCTCATAAATCTGGTTTTGAGTATTTCCCTGCACTGTAATCTTTCAACACATGACAGTAATGAGTGGCATATTAAAATGATAAATATAAGCAGGATGCTTAAGAAAAAAGAACAAAGTGACGGTGGTCCTCAGCCTGTTTTTGGAATAATATTTTTTTTGTTCTAAAATTTGATTTTTGTATCTATCTTTTGTAAAAAAGATTTTCCTCCTGGTTATGGAGATCACATATATCTTACTGAATTATAGTACATGACTCAGGACAATCTTTGTTCCTGCCCTAAGAAAATCACTGTTCACAGTTTAATGCATAAGCTCCCCGTTTTCCCTGGAGTACATACAATTAATTATGTAAACAAGGATGGAATCATATTAAAAGTCCTGAACTTTATTTATAAGGCAACTTTCCATGATAGGACAGAGAGAGAGAGCTCATTTTTTTTATATAATGGTTTTTATGGATGTACTCTGACTTAGGTATCCAATTCGCTATTAAAAAATGACTAAATTATTTCCAGGTGTGTGTGTCTTTCAGCAGTCCACAATGCTTGAACTGAAGTTGCTGGATCAAAGAGAATGAGCATTTTAAAATGTTACAAAATTAAAAAAACAAAACAAAGAAAAACCTAAAACAAATCAAAGTCTTATGATTATTACTAAACTGCCTTCCCTGCCGAAACCGGTTTGGCTCAGTGTATAGAGCGTCAGTCTGTGGACTGAAAGGTCCCAAGTTCGATTCCGGTCAAGGGCATGTACATTGGTTGCGGGCATATCCCCAGTGGGGGGTGTGCAAGAGGCAGCTGGTGTTTCTCTCTCATCAGACGTTTCTAGCTCTCTCTCTTCCTTCCTCTCTGTAAAAAATCAATAAAATATATTAAAAATAAACTGCCTTCCCTGAAAGATCACCCCTTGTGCCCTGGCTGGTGTGGCTCCGTTGGGTGGGTGTCATCCTGTGCAGAAAGGGTTGTGGTTTGGTTCCCAGTCAGGGCACATACTCTGGTAGAGGGCATAGAGCAGGCAGCAACTAGATGTGTATCTCTCTGTCCCTCTTTCTTCCTGTCTAACAATCAATTTTAAAAATCTTAAAAAGAATTAATAAATATGAGTATGAGTGTGGTAGTTTCATGCCAAATACTAGGTTTTTTAAAAGTTATGCTTTTAAAAAAAATGTTTTTATTTATTTCAGAGAGGGAGAGGGAGAGAGACTGAAACATCAATAATGACAGAGAAATCACTGATCTCCTGCACACCCCCTACTGGGGATCGAGCTCACAACCGGGGCATGTGCCCTTGACTCGAATCAAACCCAGAATCCTTCAGTCCACAGGCCAACGCTCTATCCAAACCGGCTAGGGCTGTAACAATCTTCTTTTAATGTCAGCATTACATGTCGCTTAAAACTGCTCTTTTAAGTCCATTGTGGTACTTCTTGCATAATTTATTCTAAGTCCTTTGGAAACTGTCCTCTCAGACACATTCAAAAACAAAACACCTACATTATGCAGCACCAAGGAGAAATATTCCGGGAGCCAGGCTTTTGGCTCCTAGTGTCCATGCTCCCCCTGCTGGCACTAGTGCGACATGCACCACAGAGAGTTGGTTTCTATCACAAAGATTCCACCATTAAAAACAAACCAGGTTTTTCAGGAACAAATTTTTACAGGCAGCCTTTGAGTTACATCGGACTTGACGTCGTTTCGTGGTTATGTCACCATCTCCCATTTACTTATAAAAAAAAAAAAAGGTTCAGTCATTTTAACGGTTGTACATATGTGCTTTATGTTTTTTAAATTACACTTTTATTGATTTCAAAGAGGGAGAGGGATAGAGAGAAACATCAGTAATGAGAGAGAATCATTAATTGGCTGCCTCCTGCACACACACCCCGCCCCCCACTGGGGATTGAGCCTGCAACCCAGGCATGTACACTTGACCAGAATTGAACCTGGAACCCTTCAGTTCCCAGACCAACTCTTTATCCACTAAGCCAAACTGCTAGGTCTGTGCTTTATGCTTTTTACTATTTATTTACCACAAGTAACGGTCAGGAATTGTTATTTTTCTTTTAAATTTTTTCACTGTTTCACTTCATTTCGGCTGTGTATGTGCTCCATGAATGACGTAGGTGCTTATGTAGGTGGGTTCTAACTTACGGCAAAAATCGCATTACGTCACGCTATAGGAATGGATCTCCAATGTAACCCGAGGACCTACTGTATTCTTTATGGATCCCAGTGGCTTTCTTTCTTCCTTTTTGACATATCTGAGAGTCTGTAATAGAAGTTCCAACCTAAACCGCCAGAATCTGATTTTAGATAATAATCTATATATATAAAAGCCTAAGTGACTGGTCAACTGTTCATTATGACACACACTGTCCAGCAGAGGTCAGACGCTCAATGCAGGAGCTGCCCCCTGGTGGTCAGTGCACTCCCATAGCAGGAGTGCTGTCCAGCTGACCGACGGGTTCCATAAACTGAACATAATATAGTCTATTCAGACAATGGACTATTTAGTCTGTTATCTGCTACAACACAGATGAAGCCTGAAGATATTATGCTAAGAAGCCAGACACAAAAGAACAAAGCTTGTTTGATTCCAATCTAGGTACTGGCAAATTCAGAAATTGAAAGTAGATTAGAGTTTACCAGGTAATGGTCAGTTTCCATTTGGGATAATGAAAACGTTTTGTAAATAAACAGAGGTGAAGGCCTGGCCAGTGTGGCTCAATGGTTGAGCATTGACCTATGAACCATGAGGTCATGGTTAGATTCCTGGTCAGGGCACATGCCTGGGCTGCTGGCTCGATCCCCAGTAAGAAGCATGCAGGAGGCAGCTGATGGATGATTCTCTCTCATCATTGTTGTTCCTATTTCCCTCTCCTTCTCTGAAATCAATAAGAATATATCTACACTAATAAAAAAGGAAGTTGCAAATTGACTGTACTTTCGGATGCCCACCAGCCAATCAGGAGTATGCAAATTAACCCAACAAAGCTGTTGGGCTAATTTGCATATGCAGGTGCCAAGCATCTGGGAGTGGGATGCTTGCATCGTTGCCATGGTGACGATGCAGGTGTTTCACACTGCCCCAGCCACTCCGGGCCTCTGGGCAGCGTGGGAAGATGGAAAGGTGGCTCCTGGCTGGAGCAAAGGCGGTGCTGGCAGCCAGGGGGAGGAAGGCCCATTCTTGCATGAATCTTTGTGCATCGGGCCTCTAGTTTAAAAATAAATAAAGAGATGACAGTTGCACAACATTGTGAATGGAATGTAATTAATGCCGGTAAACTGTACACTTAAAAATGGTTGAAATGGTAAAAGTTACGTGTATTTTACCACAATTAAAAAAAAGGGGGAGGGGGGACAAAGTAATAACTTGGACAAATCCTAAAAGCACTGTCCTAAGTGAAAGAAACCAGACACAAAAGTCACATGTTATACGACCCCATGGATGTGAATGTCCAGAATAGGCAAATCCACAGACAGAAAATAGGTCAGTGGTTACCAGGGACTAGGAGGAAGGGGTTGGAGAGGACTGGGGGAGGGGTGTGGTGTGTGTGAGTGCTAAAGAGTACACCTTTTTGGGGTGGTGAAAATTTTCTGGAATTAGTAGTGATAGTTACAAAACTTTGTGTATATACTAAAAACTACTGAATTGTATACTTTAAGAGGATGAATATTATCTACAAAAAATGTTAAGTGACTGGCAAAGGAATAACGTTTTTCTGACAACATGTTAGAAATTCCTTTATTACTACTTATTAAGCACCAGCTTAATACTGCAGAAAATTTCAAATCACCCTTTGACAGTTCGTTCTCCCCACCCCACCCCACCCCCAAATTCTTGATAATGAAACTTTCATGTAAAGACATGTTCTCTTCTCTCTTCTGTATAAAACTTTATGAAATAAAGGCAAAGAACTGTGTACGTTTTGCTGTAAAATGTGGCCCACGGTTGTGGAAACGGTCTGCCCAGCTCTCTTTACTGTCCAGGTCCTGAAAGACTCTTGTTCATGAACTGTCTCTTCACAAAGCAAGTCCACCACTAACGAGAGGGGACAAAACAGAATGCACAGTGGCAGTCAAATTACAACGCAAGTTCAAGGGAAGGCCAGAATATGGATTTACTTAATGTTAAAATTTGTGTTAGTCTGGCGGCCCTTATGTTATACACACTCCTTGAAAGCACATGTAAAAATGTAGAATTAATTTTTTTATTTAGTGACTTACAGGTTATTCAAAATTACAAAGACAGAATGGAGGTAATACATTCAAGATATCTCATGCAAAAATTTTTTTTAAAAAATCTGTCCTATATGGAATCATTATGCACAGTGATTCACTGAGACCTCCTACCATGTACAAGGCACATATTCAAAGTTTAACACTGCAATTCAGAAACTAAAGGTTTTCTTGCAATGAAAGATCTTAGTGTGATTCATTTAATGAAGACTACAGGATAAAAGGTGAGTTAGCAACTGAATAGGCAAAGAGGAGGGTCTTACCTTGCTAGGCTTATCATTCTGAGGATCAAAAACTTTCTCGCAAAGTCTCAATCCAGTCTCTTGTCTTAGCTGCTGCAAATAGGCCCTCATCACTTCTATAATAAGGAGCAGGTGGGACAACACAAAAAACTGTATCACAAATGTGCTCGTGACTGATCCGGACACTGACTTTTGCAATTTATTTCTGTACACTCAAACAGGTTAAGATATAGAAATGACAATCTAGCCCTGACTGCTTTGGGTCAGTGGATAGAGAATTGGCCTGTGGACTCAGGGGTCCCAGGTTCGATTCCGGTCAAGGGCATATACCTTGGTTGAGGGCACATGCCCAGTAGGGAGTGTGCAGGAGGCAGCTGATTGATGTTTCTAACTCTCTATCATTCTCCCTTCCTCTCTGTAAAAAAAAAAAAAAAAAAAAATCAATAAAATATATATTAAAAAAAGAAGCCAAAACCGGTTTGGCTCAGTGGATAGAGCATCGCCTGCGGACTGAAAGGTCCCAGGTTCGATTCCGATCAAGGGCATGTATGTTGGTTGTATGGTGGGGGCTGTGCAGGCAGCTGGTAGATGTTTCTCTCTCATTGATGTTTCTAGCTCTCTATCCCTCTCCTTTCCTCTCTGTAAAAAATCAATAAAAATTTTTTTTTTTAAATCTCTTGAGTGTGGCTAGTAAGAGAATATATGTGCTAATGATTCCACTCCCAATTGTATACCCATCAAGACAAGAAGAGAAGGAGGAGGGTAAAAAGTCAAATGGGGAAACCCTGTGCCACGTAGAGAGAAGTGAAGATACTGTCCTTACCGTCTTCCTGTTTGTTTGCAGGTTTGGCATAAATTGCGTTCAGGGGAAATCCAGGCTCTCCGGGAATGGGAAAATTAGTGATTCCCAGTGTATACATCTCTTTCTCACCTTGGCTTTTGGAATTGCACTAAAAAAAAAAAAAAAATTATATATACACAATATATTTTACAGGGGAAAAATAATAATGTTTTAAATAATTAAAATACAATACACAGAATTACCAAAGAAACCAATTATACTGAAATGCAATAACTATATTAAAAATTTTTTTTTATATTAATAGTTTTACATGTGCTACTTTATTCATGCACTAAATACACAAAATCTTGCCATGGCCCTAATAACTAAATTCTGAAGGAGTGACATGCAAACAATATTGAAAAAAAAAGAAAAAAAATCTTCCCCTCTAAATGCAAAATACTGTGGTTTCTATTGGAGAAAAAGTCACAGGTATTGCTAAGACAACTGTGGGTTGTTGTCCACCTTAATAATGAAAGTAAATGCTAAATTTCAGTTACAGGTTAGTGAAAAGATGGACTCTTTTCCCACTCAGGTTCATGGAGCCCTGAATTCTATCCTTGGACTCCCAAGTTAAAAACCTCTGAGGCAGCCCTAGCTGTTTTGGCTCTGTAGACAGAGCAGCAGCCTGCGGACTGAAGGATCCCAGCTTCAATTCCAGGTTGTGGGCTGTAGGGGCCGTGCAATGATTCTCTCTCATCAATGATGTTTCTACCTCTCTCTCCCTCTCCTTTCCTCTCTGAAATCAATAAAAAATATATATATATTTTAAAAAAGAACCTCTGAGCCAAAGGCTTAACAGGGATATTTTTACTCAAGATTTCTGTCTTAGGAGAAGACATACAATGCCTTATCCTCTGATTAGTCAACTGTACGGTAAGTTTTGAGATCCACATTCAGATATTTCTTTCAAGTTCATGTTCTAAGTCAGAGGAAATATGTTCTATTTGCTCCTAAAGTCTCACTAAGTCTAAAAACCTATCAGTAATTTATTTTCCTAACAGTTGATCATGCAAGTTTCATTACCTTTTGGAGTTTCTTTAGACACTCAGAAATGTAGAGAGTGATGTATATCAAGGTTCTATCAGCTTCATTCTACAGAGGAAAAAACAAAACTTAAAAACAGTCCTGGACAAAGCATATCATTTATGTGGGACAAATGAATTCAAATCTTTGTCTTTCGATTACCAACAGAAAACTGCTAAAGTATAAGTTACTATAACATCAAAAATTCCTTCTCCAGCCCTCGCTGGTTTGGCTCAGTGGGTAGAGCATCAGCCTGTGGACTGAAAGGTCCTGGGTTCCATTCCAGTCAAGGATTGCAGGCTTGATCCCCAATGGGAGACTTGCAAGAGGCGGCCAAACAATGATTCTCTCTTATCGTTGATGTTTCTATCTTTCTCTCCCTCTCCCTCCTCTCTGAAATCAATAAAAATACATTAAGAGCCGAAACCAGTTTGGATAGAGCATTGGTCTGCGGACTGAAGGGTCCCAGGTTCGATTCCAGTCAAAGGCATGTACTTTGACTGCGGGCACATCCCTAGTAGGGGGTGTGCAAGAGGCAGCTAATCGATGTTTCTCTCTCATTGATGTTTCTAACTCTATCACTCTCTCTTCCTCTCTGTAAAAAATCAATAAAATATATATTTTTTAAAAATACGTTAAGAACAGCTGGTCGATGTTTCTCTCTCATTGACATTTCTAGCTCTCTCTCTCCTTTCCTCTGTGTAAAAAAAAAAAAAAAAAAAAAAAAAAAAAAAAATCAAAAATATGTTAAGAAATAGTCCCATTCTCCAATGCAGTCTTCTGAGGCCCGCTTTGTCTGCCTTGTGCTGCTCCTGCTGTCCTCCGTCCCTCTTGCCCCTGGGTTCCCGAGGAACTGTGCCAACAGCTCCTCACTCTGTGTAGGAAGCGGAGTTGCCAGGAAAGCTGAGGTGCGCCATATGGTGGGCTAATTTTAAAAAGCCCTTTCGCTTTAGGATCTCTGCCGAGAACAGAAACACTCATGGCTCTACAGGAGGAAAAAGTATTTCATGTGTGACTTGCTCTTGAAGAGCTCCATAAGCCCAACTCTTATCCTAAAGGAAAACATGGAAAGGGTAATTGGGTGTGGATCCCATGTGGCACACACTTCAGGTCAAAGTTTACACAGATCTGCCCCGCCAGCGGGCCTCAGTGCTTGAGCATCAACCTATGAGTCAGGAGGTCGCGGTTCAATTCCCATTCAGGGCACATGCCCGGGTTGCGGGCTCGATCCCTAGAGTGTTGGGTCTGCAGGAGATAGCTGACCAATGATTCTCTCTCATCATTGATGTTTCTCTCCCACTCCCTTCCTCTCTGAAATAAATAAAAAATATACTTAAAAAAAAAGTTTACATGGATTTATAGTTTAAAAAACAAACTATACATTTCCCTATATTTCAGATCATGTGATATTCAAGCGAGAATGAAATGTGGCAGAATTATAATATGCATCTTTCAATGCATTTATTTACACCTATTACAAATAAAACATGTAAGACCATGCATTAGATACAGAAAACGCTCTGCTAATAACACAGAATATTTAGACTACAATTTGTAGGCCAAGTGTCTACAAATAAAGATTTCAGACCCTGTTTGATTAAAAAGTCAAAGTTTGGCAGGGAGTTCAAGTTTCATATTCTAGAATATTATCCATAAAATGTGTTGACATTTCTTGTTAATTTACTCATAGCGAAAGCTCAAAAATATTTTCCCATTTCCCCCTCTCCTTCTCTACCATCTTCCTCTCGGCCTGATTCCTACCAAGAACTAAGAGAAGGGGAGAAAGGGTGCTTAAAGGAAGGGTCAGGGTCATTGAAGTTTATTTCTCCATCTCAGGTCCAGGATACAGAAATGCATAAAAAATAACATAGCATATAAGATTTTCAATTATAGACTGGTACATTGTAGGTACTTAATTAATGTAGAATAAGGAAACAAAGACCAGATAATAAATCTCAGGCTTTGCAGTTTTTATTACAACCACTCAACTCAACTATTGTGGCGTGAAAGCAGCCACAGACAAAATATAAACAAATGTGTATGACTGTGTTTCAGGAAAACTTTTTTTTTACAAAAAGAAGTGGTGGGCCAGATTTGGCCTTTTGGCTGTCATTTGCCAACCTGTGGTGTAGACTTTGAAAGAAAAAATAAGAAATTCATATTGACAAAGAGTCTAACATTAAGTACTATTCTGGATTTTTTAAAATCATATAATCTCATTTTATTTGAAGCAACCTGACTGCCAGCTCGATCTTTTTTTCCCATCAGAAAATTACTTGAATATTAAAAGCTCTGTACTTTACCTTAATTTCATAGTTTTTGAAGAAGACATTGGCCTTGAAGTAATAGAGGGCTTCATCCACAATATCTGTGTCTTTTGCTAAGCAAGATATAAGGAGAGGGGGCAGAGAACATTAGCTTAATGCAAAACATAACATCTACAAAAGCTACAAAGAAAAAAATTATCCAAGATTAATGAACAAGAGTTTTGGAGATGAATAAAATAAAATGAGGCTACTGAAATATAAAGTCTTTAGAGAATTTCTAGAGAAATATATACATAATTTATTCTTATAGCTTTATTGTTTTTATAAAAATTATACATACTCATTAGAAAGATTAATACTAAACAATTAAAAAAATACATTTTTTTATTGGTTTCAGAGAGAAAGGGAGAGGGAGATATAGAAACATCAATGATGGGCTGCTTTCTGCACGCCCCCTACTGGGGATCGAGCCTGCAACCGGGCTTGTGCCCTTTGACCTGAATCCAACAGGGGACCTTTCAGTCCCCAGGCCTATGTTCTATCCACTGAGCCAAAATGGGCTAGGGCCCAAAACAATTTTTTAAATATATTTTTATTTATTTTAGAGAGGAAGGGAGAGGGAGAGAGATAGAAACATCAACGATGAAAGAGAATCACTGATCGGCTGCCTCCTGCACGCCCCCCACTGGGGATCAAGGCTGCAATCTCAGGCATGTGCCCTTGGCCGGAATCGAACCTGGAACCCTTCAGTCCTCAGGCCAATGCTCTATCCACTGGGCCAAACCGGCTAGGGCACAATTTTTCATTGTCACCCTGATCTCATGTCCCAGAAATAACTATTAACACTTGGTGAACATCATTCCAGACATCTCTCAATGCATTTATAAAAACAGACTGAGACATAAACTAACTTTAATAAAATTACTTAAAAAGCATTCAAAAGAATTTTATTTCAGTGTACCTATGACAGTTTCAGAAAAAAAACCACACCTCTCAACTGTCATTTAGGAACCCATTGGGGTTTTCATACACATCTTTCTGTTTACAAAAACTATGACTTCAAATATATTTGTACAAGCTGTTCTAGGTGGCTAGAGACTGAAAAAAGCCAGAAATACTGTTGTGACAAAGACAAATCTCATTACAAATTTTTTGGCAATTTTTTGTTTTCCTTTTTTTTATTTTAAGAAGGTCACAGTCCCAGGGGCTTGGTATCCGGCAGCTGGTTTCAGCAGAAACAGTTATTTTTATCTCTTGTCCATGCCTGCTATCCCTCTCACACAGCAGAAATGCAAAATAATCCTGCAGTTTTAATACTCTGCCAACATTCAGCAGTCATTATTTCTGCTCATTCCTCTGCTAAAGAATTTCAATAGAATTTGAACTCTAGGTGTGTATTTCTTTTTAAAAAATATATATTTTATTGATTTTTTACAGAGAGGAAGGGAGAGGGACAGAGTTAGAAACATCGATGAGAAAGAAACATGGATCAGCTGCCTCCTGCAAACCCCCCACTGGGTATATGGCCTTGACCGGAATCGAACCTGGGACCCTTTAGTCCGCAGGCCGACGCTCTATATACTGAGCCAAACCGGTATGACTGTGTATTTTTAAAAAATATATATATATATTTTATTGATTTTTTACAGAGAGAAAGGGAGAGGGATAGAGTTAGAAACATCGATGAGGGAGAAACATCAATCAGCTGCCTCCTGCACTCCTCCTACTGGGGATGTGCCTGCAACCAAGATACATGACTTTGACTGGAATCGAACCTGGGACCTTTCAGTCCACAGGCCTACGCTCTATCCACTGAGCCAAACCGGTTAGGGCTAGATGTGCATTTCTTAAAATCTATTTTCTTATCTGAAAAAAGAAACTTCCTCAAAGATTCTAACGGTGTTTACAAAAACCAGCCAGTCCTTTTAAATGTCACCATAGGTGGTAGGGAGGCTACAAGATTCGGAACCTAGGAGGATATTTGGCACATAAAAGGTGTTCAAAAGATATTTGTAAATAATTACATTAATGCTAAGAGTTATTTACCGGTAACTCCCAGCATAAGATTACATTCATCCATAATTCCAATTTGGTTGGAATCCAGTCCTCTAAGGAAGAGGAACAGGTCATTCGTTAGCTGTAGAAATCCCCAAAGAACTGCAAGGGTAGTAATTAGATTAACCCCTTGGTCAACTGCAACTTTTGAAATACCATATGGTATTTTGCACCGATCTGATATGGTTCTTTCCAAGGAATCTAAACCAACATGGACTCTTATTTTTTCTCTGCACTGTAATTCTTTTTAAAAATATATATTTTATTGATTTTGTACAGAGAAGAAGGGAGAGAGATAGTTAGAAACATTGATGAGAGAGAATCATCAATCAGCTGCCTCTTGCACACCCCCTACTGGGGACGTGCCCGCAACCAACGTACATGCCCTTGACCGGAATCGAACCCGGGATCCTTCAGTTCCCAAGCCGACGCTCTATCCATTGAGCCAAACCGGTTTCGGCTCTGCACTGTAATTCTTTTATGTCATTTTTCTTCTCTTTGGTCTGCTTTCTTTTCCCCATCTGTTCCTTTTTTCTTCATTTCAAAATCAAGTAAAGACTATAGTGACTCACCAGGTTTATTAAGTTTATTGATCTTTCAACTGGTGTTGAAAACAAAATTAAATTTATAAAGGTCAAGTCTAACAGTCTGGCAGAAGGACAGAGAGGGCTTCATTAAAAAATTATTAATTAAAACCATGGCCTTGGAAACCATGAATGGAACTCAGTGCAGACCCTTTCTGGGTGCAGGGAAACCATGTATAATATATTACAAATCATACTGGTGGCAGATTATCTCAGAATGTGTCAGAAGAGTCTCAGTGTCTAAAAATGGAGCTTCTGAACAGTAAGAAATGGTTCAGGGCGGGGAGAGGGGGGATGAGAGGAGGAAATGCGAGTATCAAGAAAGAAAGCAGATATAAAATTCAGAATTAGTAATGTTTCTTAGGACATATCTTTTAATATATAAGATTGAGCTCTGGCCCTGACCGGTTTGGCTCAGTGGATAAAGCATCAGCCTGCAGACTGAAGGGTCCCAGGTTTGATTCCGGTCAAGGGCATGTTGCAGGCACATCTCCAGTAGGAGGTGTGCAGGAGGCATCTGATCTATGTTTCTCTCTCATCGATGTTTCTTACTCTATCCCTCTCCCTTCCTCTCTGTAAAAAAATCAATAAAATATATTTTTTTAAAAGAAAAGAAAAAAAAGATTGAGCCCTGGCCGATGTGGCTCATTTGGTTGGACGTTGTCCATGTACAGAAAGGTGGCCAGTTAGATTCTGGTTGGGGCACATTCCTGGTTTGTGTTTCACTCTCACATTGATTTTTTTCTCTCTCTCCTTTTCCCTTCCTGTCTCTCTAAAAATCAATGAAAAAATATCTTCGATGAGGATTAAAAATGAAATAAATAAAAATAAAAAATTTCCCCCCAAGCTTGGTAAGAGAAGGGGTGGGAACATGGCATCCTATAGAAGTAGCAGCCTTAGATTAGTTTGTAAGAACTGACAGTGATAACAGAAAGTGTCAAGATTTAAGCACATTTTCTCTCAACAAAAAAATCCTGGAGAAATTAGCAGCAAAGATAACGACCTATTAGATGCAACATATACCCACAATCTTGGCAGGCCTAAAAAGCAATACCCACCGAACAAACAGAAAATACAACAGCAACCAGAGGCAGAGGACTGAGCCAAGAACTTCCCTGACTTAATGGCAGAGGGTTGTTGGATGCTTCACGCCAAAATCCGAAAATAATGGAAAGGGGTTTCCACTTACTCTCTCTCGGGGCGGGTCCTTTGAACTGACTTCTGATGGGCAGCAGCGCCATGTTGCCAATGAGCTTGGTGTCGGGGTCCATGAGAGAAGAGTGGTAAGCCTACAGTGGAAGCCAGATAAGAATACAGAAACAGAAGCAGAACAAATGTCAGCGGGAAAAACAAGTACATTTCTCGAAAGGGGAGAAAAAAAGAAAAAAGAAAAAAAAGAATAACCCACCCAAGATCAACCAGGGCATGAGACAGAGGGGAAGGTGGCAGCAATATGCAGAGCTGGCTCTCACTGGCTTGTGAAAACCAACTGTTAGCTCTCTAGGAATCTTCAAAAATTAAATTACATAAATTTGTAATAAATTATATTAAAAACAAAGGTAATGAAGATTCAAAGTGCAATACTCATTATTTTTTAAAAATTATTTTACTTGCCGAAACCAGTTTGGCTCAGTGGTAGAGCGTCCATCTGCGGACTGAGGGGTCCCAGGTTCAATTCCGGTCAAGGGCATGTACCTTGGTTGCGAGCACATCCCCAGTGGGGGGCGTGCAGGAGGCAGCCAATCGATGATTCTCTCTCATCGATGTTTCTAATTCTCTACCCCTCTCTCTTCCTCTCTGTAAAAAATCAATAAAATATATTTTTTTAAAAATTATTTTACTGTTGACTACGACGACCTTAAAGTTATTTATGTCTTTTGTATCTTTATGGCAGAAAGAGTACTACGTAATGAATGGGGCGCTACTACACATCTCTTTCAATTTTACATTCAGTGACATCACACTGGGAACTGGTGGGAATAGTTACTCTGCAGAAATAGGCAAACATCATATAAACCAGGAGTACCCACCCATCAGCTGCTGTTAAACCAGAACCCAAGCACTAGTTACTCTGTTCTGCCACTTCCTGGGTTTATATCTTTGACCAAGACATCACTTTTCTTAGCCTGTTTCTAGATTTGTATAGGGAGGAAATATATACTGCCTCAGTGGGGAGGTGTGAGTGAAAGGATGAGGGGAGAAAATCACATTTAGGAGAGCAATATGTATATGATTCCTAGTTCTGGCTTTTTGTAAGACAACACAGGCCCCATTCATGCATTCATTCCTTTAACAAATGATGACTAAGCACCTTCTAAATGCAAGGCTTGATCTCTTAAAGGTGCACAAGACCAGTATGGTCTCAATCCTTGAAGAACTTTCGGGCTAATGGAGAAGTTAGATATTAATTGTGTAACATCAAGATATTAAATAAGTGCTCGGTGTCCAACTGGTATGCTCATAGGTCTGTAGAATACTGGCTTAAAACCTGGCTGACCAAGGCTTTTTGCACTAGTTAAGTGTGCAACCTTTGGGTAAATTACTTAACTTCTCTCAGCCTCAGGTTCCTCCTCTGGAAAATGAGAAAACAATAACATATCTACTTCATAGGATCACTGTGAGGGTTAAATGTGGTAATTTCTATAGAGTGTGTAGCTCAGGGCCTGCTTGGAACACATCAGGAGTCAAATGGTAGCTGTGGGATTCACAGTATTTGCATCTAGAACTATGGCTTGTGCCTTTTTTTTTTTTTTTTTTTTTTTTTTTTTTTTTTTTTAAATCACAGGTATACATCATCTAAAGCAGCCTCCACCATCCCCTTCACCAGCTCCTACAGCTACGGTCTGGTTCCCCATCTATTTTCTTCACAGCATCCGTCCTATCAGAACTTACCTCCTTTATTCTAAATACACTCGTTTCCTGTCCTCCTCCCTATGAGAACGCAAACTCCGTAAGAACAGGGATTCGCTGCCTGAGTCACTGCTGTCACCGAGCTCAGTAATGTTTGTTGTTGAATAATCAATCCCATGTTGTTGAAAACCTCCTTTTCCCTAATCTGCAAAAATGGAGACCTGCCACGACGGCAATAAATCTACCCCACAGAGGCGCTATCAGAAACGAAGAGAAACCAGACCACCATTAATTTTACTCCCATTCTAATGCACAATAAAACCGAAACGTGTGGAAGCCAGGCCCGGCCCCTGAATTTGCCCTGAGGGCCCTGAACCGGCGGTGGCGCCCCGGACGGCGGCGACAGGGGAGGAAGTGGGTCTGACACAGGACGAGAAGCGGAAGGGACCCGTCCCCTGGGTAGGAGAAGGAAGTGGGATTTTAGAAGAAAAAAAAAAAAGGAGAAGCCGGACCCTGGACTAGAAAAATGAAAAATAAAAAGTGTATCCCTTGAGGCTTTGGGGACCCAGCCGGTGTCGGGCTGGGGTTGGGGTTGGGGTTGGGGTTGGGGTGGGGGTGCAGAAGGGGCAAAGATGGTGTTGGCACTGGAGAGAAGGGGCCAAAGGGCTGAGGCAGCCTCTCTCGTACCCACGGCCGACACTCCCCGGTCCTCAATCCCACAAGAACCGGCTGCCTCCCCGCTTCCCGGCTCCGGCTCCGGCTCCCTCTCCCACCGGGTGGGTCCGCCTCTCTCAGCGCACGCTCATTTCTCCCCGCTCTCCCCCATCCTCGCCATCACCTCACGCCCCTGGATCACTCGGGCTCCTTACCGGCATCTTGACGTCTCCCGGGTTTCAACTCAATTAGGAGAATCGGGTTAGAGAGAGGAGCTTCCGGTCCCCGAGCTTGGGAGGGGTAGGCGGAAGTGAACCGGAAGAGGAGCGAGAGGAAGATTGGCGCTTCCGGCCTTGAAGTCCCGCCCTTGGCTGCTGGGGCTGCGGGGACCCGAAGGGGCGCCAGGGGGCGCGCCAGCCCTACGTAGAGGGTGAATGTTGCGCATGCGTGAAGCCTGGAGCTGGAGATGGGTCTTGAGGTTGCAAATCCCTGTGAAGCATTACCTGGGTCACACTATTTTATTTTATTTTAAATATATATATCTTATTGATTTTTTACAGAGAGGAAGGGAGAGGGATAGAGAGCCAGAAACATTAACCAGCCTCCTCCTGCACACCCCCCACTGGGGATGTGTCCGCAACCAATGTACATGCCCTTGACCGGAATCGAACCCAGGACCCCCACCAGTCCGCAGACCAAAGCTCTATCCACTGAGCCAAACCCGTTTCGGCGGTACTGCAATTTTTTGTGTAATGATTAAGAAAATGGACTCTGGATTTGAATTCCAGCTCCTACTCTTATAGGCTGTGTAATTTTGGATTAATCTTTCTAGTTAATCAGTTTCCTCACCTGTAAATGGAGATAACAGTATTTAATTCAGTTTTGTGAGGATGAATGAATTGCATGTAATGTGCTTAGCACTTACATGCCTAGCACATATTAAAGGCTCAGGAATTTTTAAACTATTACTAAGAAGCATCTCATGTTAAAAGACAAATTCATTCCTGCTTTGGCCCGTTTCTTCGGCCAGTTCCTCAGACTGGAATACTTTGCTCCCAGTTCCCACACTGACTTCTAATTTTGGTCTCCTATCAGATAGCGCCTTTGAGGAGGAGCCTTCTTTGACAATGAGCCCAGAGTAGCCAGTTATCGCTTGCCCTTTCATTACTGTTTCTTCTTCCCATTCCTTATCAGAGACTTTTCTGTTATGGTTAATCTCAAGGACCCAGCTTGTCAGCTCCATAAGAATAAGGTTAAAAAAAAAAATAAGGTTTTGTTAAGTTCCTAGTTTATCTCGTGTCCGGCATCTCCTACTTGGGAAATTTTACTAATTCAAAAAATTTCCCTGAGTTATTTCAAATTATGGAGAACAAGAGTGTAATGAAAAGTTAATGCCGTCTCTTTTATTTATATACTAATGGCCTGGTGCACGAAATTTGTGCATGGGGAGGGGGTCTCTCAGTCCAGCCTACACCCTCTCCAATCTGGGACCCCTCGGAAGACATCCCTCTCACAATCTGGGACTGCTGGCTCCTAACCATTCTCCTACCTGCCTAACCACTTTGTGTGCCAGCCTAATAGCCCCTAACTGCTCCCCTGCCGGGCCGATCACCCCCAACTGCCTTCACCTGCAGGGCTGAGGGGACTGGGGGACTCCGGCTGGATGAGGTGGGGCTAAGGGGACTAGGAGCCACCATCTTTGTGAGGACATGGCAATCAAATTAGCATATCCCCTCTTTATTGGCTATGGGCACTGTCATTTGTGAGGGTGTGGTAGTCAATTAGCATATTCCCCCTTTATTAGATAGGATACATATCTTAAAAATTAGTCACTTTTCATTTTTTAATTATACAAATAATATATTTTCAATGTAAAAATTAGGAATACATATAAACAATAGTTTTATCCTTACATATTTTCACCTTTGGATATACATATTTTGTTATAATAATTCCTGCTCCTCCAAAAAGACCTTCAAAAATAACAAAACCAAACAGAAAAAAAATAAAGATAGACTGTTCCTAACTGTACCACAGGTGCTAATTTACATTATACACAAATCTATGTGAATTAATTTCAATTTCAACTTTTAAAATCTAAGTTGATGCTTAATAAATATATAACACTTTAAACAGCAGTAGTTTCAGAATAACCAAGAACTTGATTCAGGTGTGCTGTTGATAAAGAGCCACGTATTATTTTTTTTTTCATTAAAATAATCAGCTTTTTAGTATTGCATCCTTTGAGAAAAATGTTTTGCCGGTTCAGCCACAAGCTCTTCACATATGTACATTTACATATTAGTAAACTCTTCATTCATTCTGACGTTCTTGAAAATATTCATCAAACATAGAAGAAGACTCATCTTCATGTTCCTGACACAAAGGAAACACAAAATAGAAAATACATGAATTTCTCCCAGTTAGACATAGCATGTGCTTACATATTTCTCAGGTAAGGAATGCTCTCTAAAGAACTAATACTCAGTGCTAACACTCAGTGCTGGCTCTCGGTGCTGCACATAGGTAATAGTAACAATATATAGTAACAATATAATATTTAAAGTGTTTATATCTCATTAGAAGCATTTCTTCTTCTTTTTAAAAATTCTTACCTGAGTCATTTTCACTGATTTTTAGAGAGGGGAAAGGAGAAGAGAGGTAGGGAGGAAGATTTTAGGGGTTGAGGGGGAGAGAGAAAGAGAGAGAGACAGAGAGAGAGAGAGAGAGAGAGAGAGAGAGAGAGAGAGAGAGAGAGAACATCTATGCAAGAGAGAAACATTGGTCAGTTGCTTCCCATATGCACACTGGCATGGGATTAAAATCTGCACCTCAGGTATGTGCCCTGACTGGGAATTGAATCCATGACCCTTCCATGCACAGGACCATATTCCAACACACTGAGCCACAGAATAGAGCAAAACTGATATTGCTCTTTGAGCTCAGGAGTCAATTTCAGTAATCACCCAGAGAAGCCCAGGTTACTGCCACCACTAAGACAAAAATTAATTTGAGTTCCTGGGATCACACAGGAGATCAAGGAGTACAGGCAAACATTTTTACTAAAAGCCAATAAATACCCCTAAACCAGAAATTACCTTTGGTTCTTTAAATTCCAAGTCTTCTCCATACTGAATGGCAAAATCAATATGCTGTAATACAATGTTCATGCTTTCTTCATCTGATTGATCATAAGGCAAAAATCGAACCATGCTGTAGTCGTCAATCTATAAGTTGGAGATTTCAGAAAGGGTCATTCTGAAACTGTGCAACATGCTTAATTTTCAACTTATATATTTGAGGTTTATAACCATTGATCATTTGTAGGGGAGGGGAGGGATAGACAGAGACAAAATGGAAAATCCATATTCATTTTTTTTGGTCTGACTTATGAGAACACTAAACTTACTACATAACTAGATACTGTTTCATAGGCATTTATCGAATTCAACAACCACTGGAGACTTCAACAGGGCACAGACAGTTCTGAACTCCCAAAATGGCTTGGAATAATGGACATGTCATTTCATTTACTGGCTATCACCAATACCTGCTTCTAAATTAAACTGTGCGGGGGAGGAATGAAAAAAAAATCAAACTGCTGACTGGCCAGGCCACAGCCTGTCACCACCACCTCCCCATTGCAAGGAAATAGGATTGGATTGTGCTTTCCGTAATGTTGGCCACTGACTGGACATCGATGAGTAACAAAAAATGACAACAACAACAACAACAACAACAACAAAACAATATAACCAGCTTACCAGTCCACATATAGCTTTAGTCAATTTTTTGAATTTTTTGCTTCTAAAGTCACTTGTGGAATCATCTAATAAAGAATACATGTCTGGATCTAGAAACCTTTAAAAGTGAGAAAGAGACCGATGAATAAAAGGAAGAAGAAATCCGATTTACACACAGACAGAACCTCACATGTAAATAAAGCTTAGAAGATTCATTGGGTGTCCGATTGTAATGGGGGTCATGAACTCACTTCTCAATTTCCTTCTTAGCTTTCTTACTCAGCAGGTCCATCTTCGTCATGATGTTAACTTGTGGAATTTCTAGAGAGATCATAGCGCTCAGGGCCGCCAAGATGCCAGAAATAAACTGAAGAAGGAAACAGGAAAGAAAAGATAAATCAGTAGGTGCCACCAAAATTCCTTAGTCTCTGCATGAAAGAGAGAGCAGAACTGGCCTAAATCAAAGAAACACTAATCCTAAAGAAAGGACAGTCCACTAATCAGAGGCTGACCCTTGGTTTCTGAAGGTGAGGAGAAAAAAAGATGTAGACTTAATCTATGGTGGTCACAAGCCTCAATTCAGACCGTATCTTTAACCTTCCTTCCCATAAAAAATTCCTTAAGAGCTATTAATGAGAAATTAAGTTTTAGACAGTTCATAAACTAGACAAATAGCCTTCAGAGAATTAAAAATGCACATAGATAATATGCATCTGCCTCATTTTTCTTGGTAAGTTCTCCATGTAAAAATCACAATTTACCATCTGAAGTGAAAATACATTATTATAATAATTTTATAAGGAATACTAAATAACTCTGGAGTATAGTTTGCGAAATGTTCAGAATCACACAATGATTAAGGGAGCCTATTATCTGCTTGTACCCACGACTGAAATAACAACAGATTTATCCTCAAACCTTAAAAGACTCCACCATAAACTGTGAATCGACCAGAAAAACTCCACAGACTCGAAACTCCCACTGTTCTAGCTGCTGGACCAGCTGTTTCATCACAGGCAGGTGCGTGTACAGCTCGATCTGACCTGCATGAAGAAAATTGCAAGACTATTACAACCAGAAAACGTTAATAAATACAAAAAAAATTTCCCCCATAAGATGGTGTCAAGGGCATGTACATTGGTTGCGGGCACATCCCCATTAGAGGGTGTGTAGGCGGCAGCTGATGTTTCTCTCTCATTGACATTTCTAGCTCTCTATCCCTCTTCCTTCCTCTCTGTGAAAAATCAATAAAATTTATTTTTAAAAAAACACACAAACAAACAAACGAACAAACAAACCCCCTGCTGGAGTGGCACAGTGGTTGAGCATCGACCTATGAGCCAGGAGGTAACAGTTCAATTCCCAGTCAGGGCACATGCCCTGGTTGAGGGCTAAATCCCTAGTAGGAGGCATGGAGGAGGCAGCTGATCAATAATTCTCTCTCATCACTGATGGGTTTTTTCCCCTCTCCATCTCCCTTTACCTCTGAAATCAATAAAAACATATTTAAAAAAAATTAAAATTAAAAACAAACCAACAGCCCTGGCTGGTTTGACTCAGAGGACAGAGCATCAGCCTGCAGACTGAAGGGTCCTGGGTTGATTCCGGTCAAGGGCACATGCCTAGGTTGTGGCCTCGATTCCCAGTAAGGGGCATGCAGGAGGCAGCAGATCAATGATTCTCTCTCATCTTGATGTTTCTATCTCTCTTTCCCTCTCCCTTCCTCTCTGAAATCAATAAAAACATATGTATTTTAAAAACCACACCACCAACAACAAAAAAAAGGTAATAATATATTCCATTTTAAGGGGTCTTACTGGAAGCAATCACAAAATCATGAGGTTCATCACATTTTTTAGTTTTTGCCCATCAAAAGCAAGCGCTACAATTTTGTTAACCAGTGTCGCTCCAATAAATTCAATAAAAAGGAAAACAAGAAAGCGAGTGCTACAAAAGTAATGCAGTTTGGGAATATTCATCAAGATGAACACTTATGACATCTGCACCTTTCTGTGGGTGTGTGTATGTTCAATTAAAAGCAAAAGGAAAAAGTGAGAGCCACCTATGATCAAAGCTAAGTTCAGCTCAAGTCTACAATTCTTAATTTGGCTTACCAAGTCATATGGGTTTCTCTCTCCCCTACCAGCCTCACTTCCAACATTTCCCTTTGTGCACTGCGTGCTTCCGCCACAACAGCCTTTCTGCTGCCTCAAACCCACCTCCGTCCTTCCTGCCCGCAGGCCTACAACACGCTAGGACTTTTGCGTGGACCACAGTCTCCCTCACCTTCGGGGGATGGCCCAGCCTTCAGGCCACTGATCAAAGCTCCTCTCACTTCCCTGCTGTGTGATGGTCTATGCCAGCAGCCGCCAACCTTTCGGACCTCACGGACCACCAGCTGGTGACCGCTGCTCTATGCTATTCCTGCCACAGAGGAGTACTAAGTAACACTTGGGTGGTTTTTGTTTACACCGTCCAGCACTGCCACTGGACTGTGAGCCCCACCGGGGCAGAGACCATGGCTGCCTGGTCCTCTATGGTATTCTCCGTGTACAAAGGTAAGCACTCAGTCAACTCAGTGAATGAGTAGGGCCAATGAATAAGAGCTTTCACTGCAATCTGTCTAACTCCGGGCGACAAATGCTCACTGCACTTTCTCCTGCTGAGGACAGAACCCGCATGACTGTGAGGAAAAAGACACATTTTTAAAAAATATATATTTTATTGATTTTTTACAGAGAGGAATAGAGAGTTAGAAACATCAATGAGAGAGTATCATCGATCAGCTACCTCTTGCACACCCCGTACTGGGGATGTGCCCACAACTAAGGTACATGCCCTTGACCGGAATCAAACCTGGGACCCTTCAGTCTGCAGGCTGATGCTCTATCCACTGAGCCAAACCGGTTTCGGCGGAAAAAGACACATTTAAATGGCTCACCTACCTGGACAGTCAAAAAGGATGTAGTCATCCTCTACGTGGCCAAGGCAGCTCTCCAGCCAGTCGAAGTTATTGGCGAAGTACTCCATGCAAAACACCAGCCCCCCATTGGGGCCGAACCGCAGAGCATCGTCCTCCATCACGTCATCCACCTCGATCAGCTCCCGGATGTCTGAAAAGCACAGGCAGGCCACAGCATAGCAGCACATCCGTCTGAAAACCGCTATCCTCACAAGGGATAATTAACCACTATATAGAAACCCACACATAGGAGATTATTTCTGTACGTGGTTATTCCCGAGAGCAGGGACTGTGGGAAGTAATTATTATAGAGCCAGACAATAGAATCCTATGCAGCCATAAAAAGGAAAAGCTGTTTAAGTATTTGACTATCACCCAACCTCCTAGTTATACTGTTAAGTGAAAAGTGTAAGGTATAGCCGAAACCGGTTTGGCTCAATGGATAGAGCGTCGGCTTGCGGACTGAAAGGTCCCGGGTTCGATTCCGGTCAGGGGCATGTATCTTGGTTGCGGGCATATCCCCAGTAGGGGGTGTGCAAGAGGCAACTGATCGATGACTCTCTCTCATCGATGTTTCTAACTCTCTATCTATCTCCCTTCCTCTCTGTACAAAATCAATAAAATATATTAAAAAAAAAAAAGTGTAAGGTATAGAAGTCCATGTAAGAATCTATCATTTGTGTTTAAAAAAAAAAAAAAACATTAAAAGAGTTAAAAAAAAAAAAAAACATTTAGGGGGCTCACTCAGAGTATGATCAGCAGTAAAGCAGAGTCACTGTAACAGCATTAAGCATGGAAAGTACAGAAGGGAAGGGTAGGGAGGAAGGTCCTTAATTGAATTGAGTACATAAGAGATCACGAGAAAGGATACTGTTGAACATAAGTGGATGTCATCAATTGACATTTAGTCTCATGCTGTTCACCCTGAATCCAGGGGACCATCGATGGATGGACAAGAACAGACCCAGAAATAAGGAGCCACGGGTCAGACTGTTGGACCTCAGAGGGAGGGTGGGGATAAAAGGGAGAGATCAACCAAAGGACTTATGTCACACATAGGAGCCTAACCAGTGGTCAAGGACAATAGGAGGGTGGGGGCATGAGTGGGGAGGGGTGGGGGGTTAGAATGGGGGGTTGAGGTCAAATAAGTGATACCTTAATCAATAAAGAAATAAAATTTTAAAAAAAGAAACCAGGGGACCAGACTGTAGTAATATCTCAGCTTCGGGGCCCAGCAGCCAGCATTCCCAGCCTCCTCACCCCCTAATTTTCCTGAAGGAGGGGGACAGCTCCGCTCAGGACTCACCAGCCATTACGGAATAGTTAAAGTGTTCTTCTGCAGGATCAAGGTTCACGACCTGGACAGACCGATTGAGGGCTTCGCAGTGCTGGACCATGGTGGCACAGTAAGTGCTCTGCAATGCCACGTGGGTCAGGGCGTCAGAGCAGCAGCAATGCAACGTTATCCCTGCACCCCCAGCAGACTCTACACCTGGGCAGTGTCTTGTAGGGACAAAACTGGGCCTCCATCAACCCCTGGGAGCTAGACCAGGGACGGATTAGACCACATGTGTCAAACACAAGGCCCGCGGGCCAAATCCGTCCCGCCAGGCCTTGCAATGTGGCCCGCACCGCGCTGTCATCACTGCACTCCGCTGCGTTTCCATCACAATGACAGTTTATGACTGTTCAGTAAACCATTTGGCCCCCGATTTAGGCTGGATTTTAGATTTTGGCCCCTTCTCTGATTGAGTTCGACACCCCTAGATTAGACAAAACTGGACTCCAGCTCAGATAGTGTGGCTCAGTGGTTAAACATCGACCTATGAACCAGGAGGTCATGGTTTGATTCTTGGTTGGGGCACCTGGCCAGGTTGTGGGCTCATCACCAGTTTGCCAGTGTGTAAAAGGCAGCCTATCAATGATTCTCTCTCATCATTGATGTTTCTGTCTCTCCCTCTCTGAAGTCAATAAAAAAATATATTTTAAAAAACTGGATTCCAGCCAAAATCAGTGGATTGAGCATCGGCCGGCCTGCGGATGGAGAGGTCCCAGGTTCGGTTCCGGGCAGCTTATCGATGATTCTCTCTCATCGATGTTTCTAACTATCTCTCTCCCTCTCTGTAAAAAAAAAATCAATAAAACATATATATTTTTAAAAAATTGGATTCCAGCCGCCACTTAAAAGCTGTGATCCTGAGCAAAGAGCCTTTCTGTACCTCATTTCCCTTATCTGTACAGCCGGATTAATAGGGCTTATTTTAGAGGGTTGCTGTGGAAACAAATGAGGTGTTCAGCGCAGTATCTGGGGCACGAGCATACAATAAATGTAAGCAACTGCCACTCTTCTCCTTCCAAAACCACAACTAGCAGGGTCCTGAAGCCCAGACCGCAGAAGGGAGCTGCCAGGGTGTCAGGGTCCCCGTACAAAAGCCCGCCGGTCCCCTCCTCTGGACCCGAACCTCCCAGCTCTCCCCCCCCCCCCCCCCCACAACTCCTACTTTCCCCTCCTTCTTTCGCCAGATCCTCACCTTCCCGCTGCCTGCGGGGCCCATGACGAGCTGCGCATACCAAGGCATGTCGACTCCCTGAGCCCCAGGGGGTGCCCGGCCCGCAGCTGCCACCAAGCCTGGCTGCCACACTCCCTTCAGCCTTCGCGCGACGCCCCGAGTTCCGGGAACGTGAGCTGCGAACCAATCACAATCCAAAGTTTCGCTTACATGCCACACCTCCGAGTACGGAGCGCCCCGAGGGCCAAAATCCCTTGTGAAACGCGTCCTGGGAAGGGAGGGACGTGTGCGCACGCGCAGAGGTGGCTGGTCCAAACCCGCGGCGGTGAGACCGGGGAAGCCTGGTTGCCTTGGTGATAACTGTTTACGGATAACGGCCAGCGCTCCGCGTTCCTGCGCGGGGAGCCTGGGTCCCTGGTCTGCGTACTGATGGTTGACACCTACGGTGACATTCGAGATTTGCAAATTGGCTGAGGGTCTGGAATACTGAGGTGGAAGACACTTCCTGTTGTGGAGGGCATGTAATATTTCCTTTCCGTGACGCAACCGTTCCCCAAAAAGATGCAAACGTGCAAACAACGCGTAGTCCTCTGAAGAATTCCCGCTCCTCCCCAATGTGACTCTAGGATCGTGGACCTGCCCTCCCCGCTGTCCCGGAGCTATTCGGGGGCAGTGTCCGGAACGCCCCAGAGGAGGCTAGAACCCAGCATCCGCCTCTGCACCCCCAGTATCTCCCGACCTGACGCAAGCGTACTGACCCAGGAGGGGAAGAGGGAAAGCTTTTCCCCCCGCACACAGCTCGCGGTCCCCGCACCCGGGAGGAGATGCTCGGCCAGGGCCCGGTGTCCGCCTGGACGGACTGCAGCTCTTCCGCAGAGCCTCCGGCGGTGGCCAGGACCGAGGGTGGCGGAGGCGGGTGAGGCTGCGGGGCCCTGAGGGGTGAGGGAGGACGGGCACCGGCCGGGTCGTGATCCCCCATGTGGAGGAGGGGTTGGGAGCTGGCTGCTCCAATGCACTGGAGAGAGGGAGGCGGGGAGAACCTTTATTGTGGCCGGGATGGGAAAGAGGGAAGCCGACTCACTGTTTCAAAGGAAGGGTTTCTGAGGAGGGTTTGGGGCAATGACAACGCGGCGACTGCGACAGTCACCTGCGTGCGTCTTTCTGCCCCGAGGGGGCGCTGGGAGGCCTGCTGGGAAAGCGGCCTGGCTACCAGGCCGCTACGCAAACCCGGGTGAGAGGGGGAGGCTGCGGGGACAAGCGTCCTTGGCTCCATGGAGGGCTCCCAAGTCAACAAATCAGTTCCCTGTGTGTGACATGAGCCACCTTTATGTCAAGTGGGGATTCATAATCGTCAGTGAAACAGATGACTATGAATATTAGAAGTACTTGACATTTTCTTCACACAGTTCATTTCTTCATAAATCTGTTTTATTTGGAGCAGGGTTTTACTATTATTTCCTAATGCTGAAGACAGTTAAAGTCACTGCTGGAGGCAGTACCTCCTCATTTCTTTCATCAGTTATTCCCTAAAACAGAGAGCTGCTGGCTGTTTGCCAATGCGGCTCACAGCCACGGCGCCTGCTGCACCCAGGCCTTTTTATTATTTTTATTTTTTAATATATGGTGGATTGAAGACTTCTTAAAGATGAGATGGGGTGTTGTGTTTCTTTTCTGTTCCTCTCAGTGCTTAGTGAAGTGCTGGATCCTAGTATATCAGGAGAATGAACTAAGGAAGGAAGAAGGGAAGGAAGGAAGGAAGGAAGGAAGGGAGGGAGGGAGGAAGGGAGGAAGGGAGGGAGGAAGAGAGGGAAGGAGGATAAGCAAACAGCCATCAGCCCCTCACCCCGTCAGTGGGGGTCAGTTGAAGGTGATCAGGACAGGGGGGGGGGGGGGCAGATTGGAGTGAGCAGGCCAGCAGGGGGGCAGTTGGGAGAAAGCAGGCCAGTGGGGAGGAAGGATTGGGGAGAGCAGACCAGCAAGGGGGGCAGTTGGGGGTGAGCACACTGGCACGGGGGGAAGTTGGGGGTGATCAGGCTGGCAGAGGGGCAGTTGGTGAGCGAGCAGGCCGGCAGGTAGAATGGTTAGGGGCAATCAGGCAGGCAGGCAGGTAGGTTAGTGATTAGGAGCCAGCAGCCCCGGGTTGAGAGAGGGATATCCGACTGTCAGTTCGGGCTTGATCCCTGTAAACTAGCAGTAGGACATCCTTTGAGGCGTTCCAGATTGGAGAGGGTGCAGGTGGGGCTGAGGGACACTCTCCCACCCCCACGCACGAATTTCATGCACTGGGTCTCTAGTTAGGATATATAACCAGAATGACAAGAAAATTTGTAAGACATTCTGTCTGATAGAAGAATGAAAAGTATAAAGCAAATGCAATATTGTCCTTTTTTTTCATTTAAAATATTAGGTCTAGTAATAATTAATGTCGTTTTCTAATACTTTAAATCGAATTTATTTAAACAATACAACAAAATTTATATATATTTTATTGATTTTTTACAGAGAGGAAGGGAGAGAGATAGAGAGCTAGAAACATCGATGAGAGAGAAACATCGACCAGTTGCCTCCTGCACACCCACCGGGGATGTGCCCGCAACCAATGCACATGCCCCTGACCGGAATCGAACCTGGGACCCTTCAGTCCGCAGACCGACGCTCTACCACTGAGCCAAACCGGCTTCGGCAGTATACAACAAAATTTAATCAACAATATAGTTGCCGTTGTTTTCTACTACTTGTGCCCAACGCTCAGGAAGCATTTTAATCCCTCTGTTGTAAAATTCTTGTGATTTTGATGCAAAAAATTCGGTCAATGCATTTTGAGGCATTCTTCATTATTAAATTTTTTTCCAAGAAGAAAGTTTTGCAAAGAACGAAACAAATGGTAATCGGAAGTGGCAATATCAGGAGAATATGCAGGTTGAGGGAGAACTTCCCATTCCAACTGGCGCAGTTTTCCAGCAGTGATTCTTGCAGTATGCGGTCATGCGTTATCGTGGTGAAGAATTACGCCCTTCCGATTAATCAGCGCGGGTTCTTTTTCTCTTAAAGCTTGGGCTAACCTTTCCAATTGGGCACTATACACTGCACTTGTAATGGTTTGGTTAGATGGTAAAAGTTCATAATGAAGAATTCCTTTAAAATTCCACCAAACACACATCACTTTTTTCGCAT